GGCTGCTGGGACAGCGGCACAGGCCCGTCCACCCCGTTTCTCTGCCCGTCCCTCCGGGCCCCACTGACCCGTGTCCACAGCTTGACCCACACATGGGAGTCAAGTGCTGAAGAGCTTGGGTGGAGGAGCCCCCCAGCTGCTGCTGTCCCGAGACCCCACCAGGCCTTGCGGGAGCCCTGGGACCACATGTGCCAGAAGAGTGGGTGCCCAACAGCCTCTGGAGACCCCGCTGGGGCCACCGGAAGTGCTGTCCACGGCGTCCAGTCCCCAGCGGGGGTCTGCACCCAAATACATGCCCACCGTTGCCCTTCCCCGTCCCGCCTGGGTCACGCATGCGCTTCTTGCTGATCAGCCAGGGCCCGAGCTCTGCTCCTGGCTCCTGTCCTGCTTTCTCCTTGTGGTCATCCTGCACCAGGACGGGCTCCAGGCAGGACAAAGCTGCTGAAGCAGCCCCGTTCATTCTCTGTGGGGAGCAGCTCCCGAGTGGGGCTGGAAGCAGTCAGGTCCCGGGACGGAGCCCTGGGGTCACTGCTGGCCTCGCCGGCCATGGCTGCCTGGCGGCACAGCCTGCCAGTCAGCTCCCTGCAAAGGCGGCCAGCGGGCCGGCAGAGCACGGATGCTCTGAGCGGAGAGGAGACCCGGGCCGGGGGGTGGACAAAGAAGCTCCGTGCAGGAACGAGCAGAAGGGTGAGCATGTGGGCTGCGATGCCCACGCCTCGTATCGGACTGTCCGGGTTCATCGCCTGCCTCTGGCTCCCGCCTCCTGCTAATGCAGACCCTGGGAGGCCGGGGGAGGCTCAAGCAGTCGGGTCCCCAGCACGCGCGTGGGACACCTCCCGGCTTTGGCCTCAGCGCAGTCCCAGCCATTGTGGGTATTTAGGGAGTGAACTGGATGGGAGCGTGTTTCTCTCTCTCTCTCTCTCTCTCTCTCTCTCTCTCTCTCTCTCTCCCTCTCCCTCCCCCACTTCAGTAAATAAATAATAGGGCCAACTTTGTGGCACAGTGGGTTAAGCAGCCGCCTGCAGTGCCGGCATCCCACATGGGCACCAGTTCAAGCCCCAGCTGCTCCACTTCCGATCCAGCTCTCTGCTGTGGCCTGGGAGAGCAGTAGAAGATGGCCCAGGTGCTTGGGCCCCTGCACCTGCATGGAAGACCCAGCAGGAGTTCCAGGCTCCTGGCTTCAGCCTGGCCCAGCCCTGGCCATCACAGTCATTTGGGGAGTGAACCAGCAGATGGAAGATCTCTCTCTCTCTCTCAATTCTGCCTTTCAAATACGTATTTCTTTCAAATAAATACTAAGAAGGAAAAAAATGTTTATCCAGGCGACCTGCACATGGGCTCCCGGCTGGCACGATTGCTTCTGCCAGGGTGGCAGGTGGGGGCAGACTGCGACCGTGTACACACTCGGCAGGGCGGGCTTTACGAGCTCCTTTCCGTGTGACTTAGGAAGGAGCCCCTCTGGCCCCCTGCTGGCTCCGGGACCCTCCGCTGTCAGAGCTAAGGGGCGGGCGGGGGCGGGGGAGCGGTCGGCACGGAGGGCTCAGGACGGCTTGCTCCGGCACAGACGCCACTACAGCACAAGGGTTACTTGGGGCTAAAAATGGACGTTTTAGAGCAGCAGGTGCCAGATGTGCACTCTGCCACCCGCCCCTTCTTCCTGACGGCAGGGGACGCGTCCGGGTCCCCGAAGGGCGGGGCCACCTTTTCCTCGCTCAGACCCCGATGGTGAAGGAGCTCACCTCCCCTCGCCCCCCCCACCCCCACCCCCGCCAGCTACTTCCCACACGCGCCTCCCTCCGGGGGTCCCCCAAACCCTCTGCCAAGTGCATTCCTGCGCTTTCTCCTGCTGATCTGCCCGAAGTCCGTTTCATGCTAAGCCCCAACACCAAATCCTTGAGGGCAGACACAAAACTTTGCCTCCCCTAGGACCCTGACACCGTCCAAATCTGACCCAGGGCAGGTGTAGGAGCCGGGCTGGGATCCCACACAGCACCCAGATTCCAGGTCCTTCCCAGCGGCTCCCCGGAGACAGCTCCTCTGTGCTAAGGAAGCCCCACCACCCCTATTCGGGAGGCCACCAGGACCCCTCTGCCACCAGGGCCACCACCGACTCTCAGGGCCAGTGCTGTGGCACCGCAGGTTAAGCTGCCATCTGCAATGCCAGCAGCCCATCTCGGGCACCAGTTCGAATCCTGGCTGCTCTGCTCCTGATCCAGCTCCCTACTGATGCTCCTGGGAAAACAGCAGAAACTGGCCCAAAAGTCCCTGCCACCCATGTGGGAGACACAAATGGAGTTCTGTGCTCCCGGCTCTGGCCGAGCCAGCCCTGCCAGTGTTTTGGCCGTTTGGAAAGTGAACCGGTGGATGGAAGATTCTGTCTCTCCCCCTCTGTTACTCTTTCAGATAAATAATCTTTACAAAAATATTTGTTCCCAGCAGAAGGTGTGTTTGCCCCCACCCCAACCTGCTGCCCCTCCCCCTCAAGAGGGGCGACTTCTTACTGTGCAGCTGAGTCCCGAGGCTCGGCGAGGTCTGGAAGTCCCAGGAGGGGCAGGTGCAAACTGGCTGCTGGGCTCCTGCCTCTGTGGTCTCCAGCGGTCTGCTCTGCAGGTGGCTGCGGCCAGCCCTGCCCACCCCCTCCTCACTCCCAGGCCTGCTGGTCCCGGGCATGGGTGGGTCGCAAGGCGGAACTGGGCCCGCAGGAGGAGGGGCGTCTGTAACCTGGATTGCCAGATGCAATGTGCTGTGAGCACAGCCCTGGCCACATTTGTTTGCAAACAGCGGTTGGTGTCATGTGAGGGTCCCTGAGGCGGCTGAGGGGCTGGACCAGTGAGAGCTACTCCTTCCTCCCAGGCTACCCCGTCCGGGCCCCCAGGGCTCCTGCAGCGGGCCTGTCCACCAAGCCGCGGGTGGACACGCTGAAGCCCACAATCGCACAGTGGCCTGCCCGAGACCACAGAGCCACACCCTGTGATGCGAGGACTGTGTGAGGCCCGAGGGCTGCGGGGCCAGGTGCAGCCTCACAGCTTGCAGCCAGCCTGGGGACGCCCTGCGGACACGGGCCTGGGCCAGCCAGAAGCTCCTGGAGGCACTGAGCCGGGCACGGACCCCCCATTCCCTTGTTTCCCTCCTTCGCTGCTCTGCCTCTCCTCCCCCTCCCTCGGCCCGCATGCACACATGGGCAGGGCCTTGCTTTCCTTCCTGATGTGTGAATGGACCTGGGTCATGTGGGGGGCGACGGGCGGCGGGGAGACTGTCACAGAGGCCATCGCAGGGGTGGGCGTGCAAGGGCTGGGGAGAGATGAGACCTCCAGGTCAGGGGGGTTGAGGGGAGAGGGGACACGTCATGGGGCCACCTCCCAGGTCCTGTGCGGAAGGCTGACCCTGACAGCTGGGCTCAGGATCCCAGAGTCCGGCAGAAACAGGTGCCCTCGCTGGCCTCTGGGCAGGTGCACGCTTCCCCGCGCTCATCTACTCCTGCAGGTCCTCCACCCCCTCCCAGCCCAGCGTGCACCGGCCCTCCCCGGGGGCCTTCCCAGATTCTCCCGCTGGACCCCCTCTTCCGTCTGCTCTGCTCATTCACTCAGGGAACACTGCCGACTGGGCCTGGGTGCCGGCTCCAAGGGGATGCCGGTGACTGCCCTCAAGGGAGCCACACCGCAGCTGACTCTCGGGTCCCTGGTTGCCTTCGTCAGGTTCACCTGAGTTTCTCCAAGTGGGAGACACTGAGCCGAGCACACGCCTCTTGTTCCCATGTTTGCCTCCAGTGTCAAAACCAAGGAAAACCTGTAGCCCACATCCCGCATGGACACAGGTTCAAGTCCCAGCAGCTCCATTTCCAGTCCAGCTTCCTGGTAACGTGCCTGCAAGGCAGCAGATGGCCCAAGTCGCCTGCTAAGAGGAAACCTCATGGTACATGGAGAAAAGTCTGGACTGCCAGGCCCTGCTCCTGCGACTTTGGGCAACCTGCTTTACCCGAGTCTTGGTTTCCTCGGCTCTGTAATGCCGGGACAGCAAGTGGTGAATGCGGCAACACGAATCAGCCACAAACTTGGTATGAGAAACTCATTAACTGGCTGCTTTCTGCTTTGATGCTGCAGTCCACAGTGGGGCTGTCAGTCTTCTCTTGGAGAGCAGATGGGGTCAGGGTTATGGGTCTTTCAGGGTCTCCTGGGGATACCCAGAGAGCAAGAAGTTACAGGGGGTGGACAGGAGCTCCTAGCCAGAACCTGCAGCAGCTCGGGTCTTGTCCGTTCCAGACCCTGGCTCACCCTGGAGCTTCAGATTTCTAACTCCACAGCAGGACCAAGGAACCTGGATCTATTTTTATTTTGTAAAGATCTTTGAAAAACAGAGTTGGAGAGGACAGCGAGCTGGGAGTTGAACCAGCAGCCAAATGGGATGCTGGCAATACAGGCGGCGACTTAACCCGCTGACCCCAGGAACCTGGATTTCAACCACCACCCCCTCTTCACTGCCGAAGGACACCGCTGTGCAGCCAGCTGGGGCCCACGGTGCATCCTCCCCACCACCCGATGGCAGCGCGTGCACCTGCTCGCACAGGACTGCCGAGGCTTCCCACCTCCTCCAGGGCAGCCCGTCCATCGTCCAGCAGCTCATATACCTGGAACTTCTGTTGCTGAGCCCAACCTCTAGTCCTTTCCCCGCCACCTCCTTAACCTGTATGGATCTGTCTCATCTACAGCACAGGGCCAGCAACAGGGACCCACAAACCTCAGACACACACACACCCCTGCAGGGGCGGGGGTGAGGCCTCCAGCACCTGCGGTCGTGGTCGGTTCTGAGAGTCACAGGGCCCCCAGCCCGGGCTCTGCACAGCACAGCACTGACCTGGAGCCCCTCCTGAGGCACCAGCTCACTCAACGAGTGATTTCAAATCCTATTTTTGAAAAGGAGAAAAGTTGGTTTTGTACTAAAATAGACACAGGGACAATACAGACTTGGCTGAAAAATGCGCCTGTTCAAAACAAATGCACATCTAAATTTTTACAAAAGATTTATTTATTTGAAAGGCAGATGTGGAGACAGAGTGATCTTCTATCTGCTGGTTCACTTCCCAGATGGCTGCAACGGCCAGGGCTGGGCCAGACTGAAGCCAGGAGCCAGAGCTCCACCCTGGTCATCCATTTGGGTGGCGGTGGCCCAAGCACTCAGCACGCCTATCATTTCCCAGGAGCGTTATCAGGAAGCTGGGCTGGACGTGGAGCAGCTGGGACTTGAACTGGCACTGGTGTGGTGCGCCTGCAGTTGTGGCACAGCGGCAGCCCCAAGGCATCTAATTTCTTACCGAGCTTCGGGGACACAGGTGCAGCCTCCACCCAGGCCATCCCACTCCCGATGACTGCAAGGGCCCAGGGGTCGGGGGCAGGCGGTGAGCAGTCTTGAACAACCCACACAGCAGGTGCTACGAGGTGGAAGGCGGAAGCACAGGATGGCTTTGCAGATGTGACAACCGCAGCTTAATTTGGCCATGTGGATGCCAGCCTGGGGCTCAGGCCCCGGGGAGAGCGAGCCCCGGGAAGGCTGGGTTAGACAAGGCCAGGCCCTGGGTGGGGGGGGTCTCCAGAGGCAGGAGTGGTCCGTGAACTGCTGAGTCTCAGCGCTGTGCCAGAGGCAGCCTGCCCTTAAGGAGGCTGTCAGCACCGTGAGGGAACACGGTGTGTGCTCGCCAGGGCGTTAGGTGGCCAGTTAGGGCGTCGGGGCTCCACCACTGGCGTGCCCGTGCTCGGTACCGGCCGCCAGCTCCCGCCACTGCAGGGCTCAAATGGTCGGGTCCCTGCCACCCCTGTGGGAGCCCTGGGTCGAATTCCCAGCTCCTGGCTTTTTCTCAACCTGGTCTCAGCTATTGTGGGCATCTGGGGAGCGAAGCAGCGGATGGGAGAGCGCCCTGCCTCTCAAGTAAACACTGAACAAACAGGAGCCACCTGGGAGCCTGGCCAACGGCCTCCACCCAGGGCTCCACTGAGCAGCAAGCAGGGCCGCTGCCCAGCAGCCGGGCTCCTCAGGGAAGCTGCAGGTAGCACCAGCGCCTGCGCACACGGGGCCCGGCCCGGCCTCCCTCAGACAGGACCGCTGTGCGCGGCAGAGGCGTGGGCTCCACGTGGTGGGCGGGGGACTCCCACCCACCACAGCTATGGAGACTCAGACGTCTCCTGCAATCACTCTTGCATTCCAAAGAGTTATGTATTTGAAAGGCAGGGCCACAGGGAGAGACCACGGCTTCTTTCTCCAAATGGCCACAATGGCCAGGGCTGAAGCCAGGAGCTTCATCATGGTCTCCCACACAGGTGCAGGGCCCCAAACACTGCACCACCTGCTGCTTCCTCAGGCCAGTAGCAGGGCGGAGGTGGAGGTGGATCGGAGGTGGAGCAGCTGGGACTTACACTGGCACCCACATGGGAAGCCAGCGTCGGGGGCGGGTTAACTCACTGCCCCCACCCTGCAGTCCTGTGGAGACGTGGACAATGAAAGCGAGGCCCAGCCAGAGTGTGTCCCCCACGGCCATGTGGCTGCTCCTGCCTCTTCCCTCACTGACAGCGCTGCCTTACCTGGACAGCGGGGCCCCAAGGTCCGGCCCCACCTGGGCTGGTCCTGGCCAGACCTCTACTGAACCTGTGGCTGTCAGGCTCTGGGAGGAACCGGGTATTCAAGGGCCAAGGGCACAGGCAGCAGGCAGTGCATGGGGTCTCCGGTTCCATGGGATCCAGCTTCGGGGAACCCTGTGTTTTCCACTAGAGGCCGTGGGAGGTGGCCAAAGGCTGGAGCGGGCCACGTGGGCCAAGGGTCAGTATCAGCTCCGCCCATCTCATGTCAGGGACTCTGAACACCCAAGGGACCCAGTGTCCCTGGCTCAGTGTCAGCTATCTGCCCACCTCGGGCACGTGGGGCAGGGCTGGCACTGACGAGGACCACGTGTGAGAACCCGTGCACTCGGCACCTGCAAGGGCTCTCAGGACCCACAGGGCACGGCCAGGGAAGCTGCGGAAGAGGCAGATCCCGCGGGTGCAGCGCTCTGCCACGGGGGAGCACGGCTTGCTCCGAGGCAGCCGGCGCTGCCCTGCCACACACTCTGAGGGATGAGCTCCAAGTCAGAGAGCAGCGACAGGTGCTGTGCGGACGAGCAGCACGGGCTGTTCCTCACCAACAAGGCCGAAGGGCACCGCAGGCGGCGAAGGCTGGAGCCCCGGGCGGAGCAGCCTCCCATGGAGACCCCCTCCCGGCACCGCCACGGCCCGGAGGCCTGAGACGGCACCACGGACACCAAGTGCATCTCCCCTCTTTGTGGCTTCCGTCCTGCACCAACAGTGACTGCTCTGGCACTCGGACATTCTCGACAATTCTCTCTTCCAGGGTCCTTGTGACTGACTCCCAGCCCGCCCACCTACAGAGCAGGCCCTGTGCCCAGCCCCATTGTGCCCTCTGCTTCTGCCGTGGCATCCAGGCCGACCCAGCCTCCCCCAGCCCTGCACTGGGCCCTGCTCGGCTGCAGGGGGAACAGCTGCTGCCCACAGGGTGAGCAGGGACTCAGGACGGCCTTCAGCTGTGTAGACGCCTGGCCCTCGGAGCCTGCACAGCAGCGGCCAATCCCGGCTGAGCTGTGTCCAGGGCACCCCGGGGCAGGGAGACGGGCGGAGGCAGCAGAACCCAGTGGGCCGCTGCTGTGTGACCGGGGCACACGTCTCGGGGCTGCTCCTGCTCCGAGGCCAGGAACCACAGTCCCAGGGAGGCCCTGGTGGCAGAGCGCATGGAGACCGCGTCCCTCCCCCGTGTGTGGGGACAGTGCACATCCCTAAAGCCCTTGGTCAGACCCTCGCCCCTCAGGGCTGTGTTCCCCTCCTCTCCTCCAGGCAGCCCAGGGCCTGGCCACTGCCTGGGAGCCAGCAGTGACCCCCTCGCCAGTGCGGCGGTCGTGCATCTCAGCTGCCCGGCTGCTGCCTTCCCTGGCACCAGCAGGGCGTGGCCACTCCCCCGACTGGGCCCTCCCGCCCGGCACAGCCTGGGCTCTGCCTGGAGAGGCCCAGCCCCCAGCCCCCAGCCGTTCTGTGGCAGCTCCAGGACCAGTGCTTCTCTGAGGCCAGTTCCCTCTGGGTCTATTTACTGGGGCCCCGGGGGCCTTGGTGCTGCCCTGGCCTTCCTGAGTGTTGCCCACTGACCACCAGGGATGGGTGCGGGCACACCTGGATTTGGCACAGGGCCGAGAGGCTGGAGGAGGGTGACAGTCACCACGCAGAGGTTCGACCGGCGGCGGCCAGCGGAGGTGGCAGCCTTGAGGGCAGTTGTCCATCAGGTGTGGCACTTGTGGTCCTGGGGACCTCTCCCCCGGCTGCTGAAGGAGCTCGGGGGGCCTGTGGGCCAGGTCCAGTCTGAACTTGCATGCTCTACAGCCCAAGAGCTGGGGGAGCCAGGTGCCCGCCAAGGACGGGGCTTCCCCGCCCCTGCGGTGCAGGCTAAGGTCAGCAAACCTGAGCCCCCCTCCCCACGACAGGCCCTGCTCGAGCTGCGCTGCCAGTTGGGCTACGGCGCCGTCATCACGCTCTGCTCGCCGTGGTCCACACTCCAGAGGCGGTAAAACTCAGCAAAGTCCACATAGGGTTCGACGCGGCCGTCCTCGCCGGGCGGGAGCGAGTGGGCCGGGCGGGAGCGGAAGAGGCCGCCGTCGGAGCTGGAGCTGCTGCTCTGGGTGTGGGTGTTGGTGGACTGCAGCGTCAGGGTCGGGCTCTGGCTGCAGGGGCCACAGCGGAGGGAGTCAGGCACGGGCACAGGGGCCAGGGGGCCTGGCTTCCAGCCTGGGGACAGAGCAGCCCCTACCCCCAGCCCCTCGGGCCACAGGCCTCTCGGGAAAAGCCGACCGTGAGAACTGGTCAGGCAGGCAGTCCTGGGGAGCAGGGGCCGCCCAGCTCGGGCGCCGAGGGGACCAGGCGGCAGCACTCCCGTGGAGGGAGCAGCCATGGGATGGTGCTAGGGCTGGACGGGGGCTCCCGCCTCCAGCTGGCTGGCTGAGAACAGGCACTCGTCTTGGTCACAGTGACAGGCGGGCATTCCTGCTGGTCCCCATCCTGCCAACTCGGGCCCACCCAGACCAACTACAGGCTCAAGCTGGGGGCGGAGGCAGAGGCAGAGAAGGGGCCGGCGGTCCTGCTGCATCTGGGCCACAGTGTCAGGCTGTGCTTTGTGGACACAGCTGGTGGCTCCCTCAGCGCAGCCCAGCAGGGGTGGAGAGGCCGCCCCAACTGCACCGGAGCTGCCAGGCCCAGCCTACAGTAGTGGCGGCAGCAGTGAGGAGGGCAGGGGAGGAAGGCCACTCCCTCCCTGTGGGCCCTTCTAATCGGCTACATCCTGCAGCCTGGAGAGCCTGGGTGTGGCATCTCCATTACTCCCCGCCCCCGGGTGGGGAATGTGGAAACCAGATCCAGGCCCCCTGGGGTGGGGGGACATTCCACACAAGTGGAGGGGGAGGGGACAGCAGACTAGGGCAGGTCTATGGGCGCCACGACAGCCGCCGGAATCCAGGGAGCTCGCTCAAAGCTAAACCTGGCTGTTCTGGCCTCAGCCGCCACCTTTGTGTTGCTGGCACAGGCCTACGCCGGCCCCCACACACGGGTGCATGGGGAAGCCACATTGCTGGCCACTGCAGACGGGACACAGAGGCACAGGCCTACGCCGGCCCCCAGAGGCCGACAGGACTAGCAGACGGTCAGTGTCGGTGGTCAGGAGACCCTGCCCCGCCCCCCAGCCACCTTTGGCTCCCCAGACCCAAACCTCTTCCCCAGCCTGGGAGCCTCAGCTCTTCCTGCCTGACCCAGGAGGGGCCTGGGGGATGCCAGGGCATTTCTGTCCAGCCCCGGGACCCGAGCGCAGGGAGTAGTGAGGGCTTACTTGGTGAGTGTGGGCGTGGCCTCGTCCAGAGTGGAAGCACTGTGGGCCCCGTTGACCATCTGGCCCTGGGAGGGCATGACCAGGGAGAGGGTCACGCTGGTCTTGCTGGTGCTCTGGGCGCTGGAGTAAGGCACGGACACTGGGTACACGCGGCCGCCTGCAGCTGCGAGAAGGAGCGCGTGGGCCACTGGGGCGGGATGGACACTGGGCAGCGGGGCTGGGGAGCGCCCGGCTGCCCGGGCCCGCAGGGCAGCTCAGGGCTGGGGGGCCCGCTGGGCAGGGACTCCCCCAGGCTGGGTGGCACCTCCCTTCGGCAGGAGAGCCCGCTGGCTGAGAGGAGCGACAGAGCCCGGGGCCGCGCCGCGATGAGGAAAGGGTTACTGCCCGCTCCCCGGGGCGCTTGGATCCTGAAGATCCGTTTGCTCCCTCGTGAGGCTGACCCAGTAAAAACACGGCTGCAGTAACGAGCCGAGACACGTCAGGAACCCTGGAGCCCACGGGGGAACAGCGCCGTCGCGGGCGCCTGAGCGCTGAGGTTTGCTTGTTTGTAAAAAGAGGGAGGAGGCCTGGGTCGTGGCACAGTGAGCTGAGCCATCGCCTGACGCCGGCGTCCTGCAAGCGCTGGGTCGAGTCCCGGCTACTGCCGAGCCAGCTCCCTGGCTAACTCCCTGGGAAAGCTGCAGCAGGCAACCCAAGTACTCGGACCCCTGCTGCCCACGGGGGAGCTGCAGGAGGTCCAGGCTCCGGGCTTGAGCCAGTCCCAGCCCTGGCCGTTGTGGCGATCTGTGCAGTAAACCAGTGGACAGAAGACCTCTCTGTCCTTCCCTCTCTCTTTGTAACTGGCTTTCAAATAAATCAATCTAAAAAAAAAAAAAAGGAAAAAAAGAACGCAGGCCTCAGGCACAAACGGTCTGAGCACTGGGCGGCTCGCAGAGGGCACGGGGAAGCATCACCCCTCTCCTGACCCGCCCGATGGGAAGCTGGAAACCCCAGGGAGCCAGCGTGAGGCCCGTCCACGGGTCCTCAGGCCGAGCCCTGTCCGCAGCTCTCCCTTCCCCATCCTCAGCTCCCTCGCCTCTGTCTTCAAGGTCACTAAGCAGGGCAAGGGGCGCTGGTGCGGTAGAGTGAGGCACACGGTGGGACTGCAACAGCAGTAGCCGGGTCCTCAGATACGGGGCCCTGTGGCTCTACACTGGTGCACGGGAGCCCCAGGCGTTCCGGAGCTCAGGGTAGGTGGTGCTTATCATCTCTTTTACAGCCAGACAGCCTGGGTCAGAACCACTCAAAGCCGGGCTTGCATGCCAGAGGAAGCCACTGTCAGCTGCCCTGGACAGCGTCGTCAGGACACACGTACCTGGGGCCGGGGTCGGCGTGGGCTGGCTCAGTTCACCCAGTGGGTAACCAAAGTTCCTCACCAGCAGGGTCATGTCCTCGTGCCGGGGGCAGAACTTGGCACGCTCCCCGCCGCTGGCGAAGGTGTCACTGTGGATGCGCTTCACCCTGTCCACCACGGCCTGGGCCACTGCGTCCAGGGAGGTCTGCTTGGCGAACTCAGTGTCAATCATGGCAGCAATCTCCTGGGGGCGGGGTGGGGCCTGGTGAGGGCGGGCGCCCAGGGACCCTGGCCCTGACAGCACACTCAGGGACCTCAGGCCGGCGGACGCGGGAACTGCCTGACAGCCAAGTCTGCAACCTGAGCTTTTCAAGGTATTCAGGATAATCCTTCTGGAACCTTCTGATCAGGAAAGGCGTGTGACCTCGCAGCCTGTGCCTGCTGCGTCCACACCTCTGGAAAGCGCCACGCTGCACCTCCCGGGCCACCGCGAGGGAGGTGACGCAACAACCTGCGACAAGAGCACTCTGAAGGCTGCTGAAGCCCAGCTCCCGGTCACGGTCAAGTGCTCCTTCCTGCAACACACCTGTTGTGGGCTATGACAGGCAAGGCACACGTCAGGAACTGGGGACACAAAACGAAGACGGGGCCTCTGCCCTGGGCAAAACCCACTGTCCAGAATATTCTAGAACCTAGTAGAAGCCACTGAATACTTACACTGTGAAGACCAAAGCAGAAAAGGAAAGCAGAAAAGATCAACAGCACAGACACAGAATGCTGTCCCTGACAGACTGCAGGTCTCTGGGGGAAGAGGGCGGTGGCAGGCACGGCAGGCCTGGCCCTGTCCCGGCACTCAGCGCCGTCACTAACCAGCCCAGGCTCCCTGCTCCGCACGGCTGGGCGACACTGCCCCTGTTGGGCGCTGATGAGAGGGGAGAAGAACCTTGACAGCAGGGGTCAGGAGTTAGGCAGGCAGGGTGCCTCCCGCCGAGTGACCCCGGAACCACAGACAGATGGAGGGACACACCCTGAACTCGTCTCTGTGACCGCAGCCAAGCCAGAGTCCGGTGAAGATGGCTTCCCTTCAACACGGCCCTCCACATGTCTCTCGGTCACACGCTGGTGACAGCCGCGTGCACACTCCAAGGTGTGGGAAAGTGAAAGAGCCCACACTGAGGCTGGGACCTGTGTGCTATGCATCCCCGTCCAGAGACGAGGTGCAGCGGGACCGGACAGATCTCTGGGTGCCAGGGCCTGGACCCCCAGCAGCCTCGGAGCAGTAGCCACACCCCAGGCTGGGCTCCCCTCCTCTGCCCAGGGCAGTGCCCGCTTCCTCCCTTCAGGCCTCACTGGGCCCTGGAAATGGATGCCGCTTCAAGCAAAGCCTGTGTGTGAGGGGTGTATCTAGGGCGCTGGTGACGGTCCATCCACCCACCGGCCAGCTGACCCTGCTCCGCGACATCCCTCAGCTGGCCCAGCTCACCTGGTTGGCCTGCCCAGGCCCATGGGCTGCCTCCAGGGCCTTGTACAGCCCCTCGGACATCAGCACCAGGAAGCCGGTCACCCCGTCCAGTGGCTGGGCACCGTGGATTTCTGGCTCCGCGATGATGGGTCTGGACTTGGCAGCACTATGGGGAGGGAAGGGAGGGGAGGGCTGCGTGTGGAACAGTCCCCAGGGACGCGCTGACGGCTGGGTTTGTCACGAGCTTAGGACGTCAAGTAGGGAACACACGACTGGGCAAGGAGAGAAAGAGGAAGGGACACCAGAGCAGGCCTGTCTTGAGGGCGGCTCTGAGGCAGAAGGGCTGGCGGCACAAGGGTCCACACAGCCAAGGTCAACGCCCACCCTGACCCTGATGTACATCTCCTGTCCAGAGGCCGCCCGCGGCAGGGTGCGGGACATGCAGGCAAGGGGAGGGGCATCTCCTAAAAGCCTTCTCCTCCACTGTCCCTTGGGTGCTACAAATTAGCTGTCCAAGCCAGCCGAGGGCCCGAACGCAGGAGGAATGCACTGAAGGGCGTCAGCCAGACGGCAGAGGTGCCCACATGCGTGCAGGACTGGAAGGTGGGCGGCACTCACACCAACAGGACCCCGTTCCAGGCGTCTCTGTGCACACTGAGGGCACAGGACCCCGCTCCAGGCGTCTCAAGCTGCGCACACTGAGCGGGCAGCTTTTGTCTGGCAGTCAGACCCCAGTAGAGTGGTTGGTAAAGCACAGAAGAACAAGGCCCAGCAACCTGGGCAAGGCAGGCCGCGCTGCCAGCGGGTGTTCTGACGGGCACACCCAATCCCAGCCCCACGCTATGCACACACGGACACGTGTGGATGCACACCTGCACAGACATCTGGGAACAGGATGCACGGGCAGCCAGCAGCCTGGGCCGGGTGGGAGCAAGCCTGGGGTAGGAGGAAGGCTAACGCCCACCGCTCACAGCCCAGGCGCTATCTGCACCCTACTTTCAGTAAGCACACAGAAACCTACAAGTTCAGGACAGTTTCCAAACTGAAATACCTGGATCTCGGAGGGGTGGGAGGTAATCTGTTCTCACAGTTCGAGGCCAGGCAGCATTAGCTGCTGTAACTGGCATCACACAGGTGCATCACACAGGTGCACACACACACCTCCCCCGCTCCTGTTTCACACACAGGTGAGTCCCTGCGTGAAGACACATCCCCAGTCCAGGTTGCCTGGATCCCAGTCCTATCCAGCCCATCACTGACCCTATAACTGGGGCAGCACCCGACAGCCCCATGCCTCAGTTTCCTCGTAGGAAATGCGCTGTGATGAGGAGGGTACCGCCTCCCAGCGTGAGCAGCATGTGCACAAAGGGTTGTGCCAGGCTCTGCCCAGTCAGGGTTCACACTACCTAGTGCCCACTGTGCTGCCCTGAGACCCCGGGTGAAGGCAGTGCCCTTGGTCACGCCCCTGCGCCTGCCGTGGGCAGCACCGGCCAAGCCTTTGGTCTGTGTGTCCCTGGCCAAGCCAGGTACCTCCTGCTGACTTCAGTTTCTCCTGCTGGGCTCTGTGGCACCAGCTGCTGCCATTGGCTTGAGCCCAGCTCAACTCGATCCCTGGCCACTGCACACCCCCCTTTCACTTCAACTCACCTCCGTCACTGGAGTCTAACCCCTACTCGGCCGCCAGCCCTCTGGTCTCACAGACGAACAGGACACAGCCGGGCAGGCTGCCTACCTGAGCAGGTCAATGTCCGTGTAGCCGTATTTGACCTTGTAGTCCCCGATGCGCCTGGTGCTCTCCTGCCCACAGATGATGCCCACCTGCTTGATCTTTGCTGCGTCCAAGCCTACCAGAGGGAGAACAAGGCAACCATCCCACTCCTCATTCATGAAGAGCAAAAGGGGGCAGGGGCCCAGTGGACGGAGGTGGAGAGGACGGCAGCTGCCCCAATGCCCTGAGGGTTCGCAGTCCCATCCCCGTGAGGACACAGCTTGCTCAGGCCCCTCCTCCGCCAGCTCCGGCAACACCCAGCACACCCTGTGCGCCTTGGCCCCCGTGTCCGCCCCACGGCCACCGGCGGCTCACTGAGGAGGTAGGGGGTGACCACAACCACTGCCGGAATCCCAGGATGCATCTGGCGGCTCAGTCCCCACCGGTCGCTGAGCGCCAGGCACTCAGAGCAGCATTCTACACGGATGAACTCGCGATGCACACAGCACGCTGAGGCGGGGGGTTCCAACATCCTCATTACACAGCTCAGAGCAACCCACAGATGCAGGGCTGGGGTCCCCGCCGGCTGCACGAGACACGCACACGCACGCACAGGCAGGGAGGCCGGCCGAGCCCCGCAGGGCCGCTCACCCAGCTGCGAGAGGCGGAAGAGCTCGTCCTCGTTCCCCGTGGTGTGGTCCACGTTCAGCTGCGTCACCTGCAGCCCGTCCACCGTAGACTGGCACAGCAGCGCGCGGTTCGTACCTGCGGAGGAAGCTGAGCAGCTGAGCAAAGACCAGGCGGGGGGGAAGAGGACGCGGTGGAGACAGAGAGCAGAGGCGGCGTCTCGCGGCCAGAACCACTCGAAAGCAGCGGATCAGGCTCGGGCCGCCGGGGCGAGCCGCCAGTCGGGAACCGGGCTAAACTTTCAGTGCGATCGCAGGATTTGGATTTTAAAGAAACCTTTCAAGAAACACACTGGACACTGTAGCTCAACTCACAATAGCTAAGAAATGGAATCAACCCAGATGTCTATCAACTGACCACTAGATAAAGAAATTATGGTAGGGGCTGGCACTGTGGCATAGCTGGTAAAGCTGCCACCTGCAGTGCTGGCATCCCATATGGGCGCCAGTTCGCGTCCCGGCTGCTCCACTTCCGATCCAGCTCTCTGCTGTGGCCTGGAAAGCACTGGGAGATGGCCCAAGTGCTTTGGCTGCTGCACCTGCATGGGAGACCTGGAAGACGCTCCTGGCTCTTGATCAGCCCGGCTCCAGCCATTGCAGCCATTTGGGGAATGAACTAGCAGATGGAAAACCTCTCTCTGCCTCTGCCTCTCTGTAACTCTTCCTTTCATATAAATAAATTTAAAAAAAGATTGAATTGTTTTTAAAAAAAATAAATCATGGTATATGCGCACTATGGAATTTTACTCAGTGGTTAAAAAAAACGAAACCCTGTCTTTTACAACAAAATGAATGCAAGTGGAAACTTATACTTAGTAAGATGCGCCAGTCCTGAAAAGACAAATGCCGTATGTTTTCCCTGACGGTGGTAGCTAAGAGTGCCTAAAATGTAAGGTATAGGAGTGAACTGACATTCTGAGATTCGATGACTGTTCCAGCCTTTGTCGTGCCTGTCGGGGAGCAGTGTTTTCCCTTCATGCTGTTTGCTGAACTCAGTGCAGTGTCACTCTTACGAATATGAAGATCTTTGTAGAAGTCAAGAGTGGGAACAGAAGAGTGGGGAGGAAGTGTGGGAGCGTGGGCGGGCGGGAGGGTGGGGTGGGAAGCACCACTGTGTTCCTAAACCTGTATATGAGATGTACGAAATCTGTATACCTTAAATAAAGTTAAAAACAAAACAAAAAAAAAAAAAAAAAAAAAAAAAAAAAACAAAAAAAACACCACCACACATTGGAGGTTACAGCCGACATGACTTGATGGAGCTTGTGCCTGGCAGGGAGACCGGTCGCAAGACGACAGCCGTGGGAGTGGACGTGGGCTTCACTAACTGCTTCTCATCTACTTCTCCTACCTTGGGATTTTTGCCATAATGACATTTTTCTAAACGATTTGTTTTTATTTATTTGAAAGACAGAGTTACAGGGAGAAGTAGAGACAGAGAGAGAGAGAGAGAGAGAGAGGTGTTCTATGCACTGGTTCACTCCCCAGATGGCCGCATCGGCTAGAGCCGAGCTGATCCGGAGCCAGGAGCCAGGAGCTTCCTTAGCCCACTGCGCCACAGCGCCAGCCCCCGTAATGACATCTTACGCAGAGCGGGGCGAGAGGGAAGCCATCACCAGGACTGTGCTGGGGAAACGAGGAGACACGCCGCACGCCCGGACGCCCCGCTCTCCCGGCAGCTCACCGACGTTGGCCACGTAGAGCTTGCTGCTGAGAAGAACGGCCACGACGGCCATGGCTCCTCCCGAGATCTCCTTCTCCAGGGCCTTGAGTCTCTCCAGGATCTTCTGATACTGAGATGGCAACTGGTGCTGGGGGACACCCTGCAGGCCGCCGTCAGAGGTCAGAGCAGGACTGGGCCTCGGCCTGCCCCTCCGAGCCTGCCCAGTGCCCGGACGTGAGGGCTCCGGGCACAGACAGGACAGAGACCTGTGCGCAAGCCCCGGTCAGCCTCTCCAGGAAAGCAGGAGGAAGCACTGCTGGCTGACCGGGCTGTGGACCCACGCAGGCCACAGAACCTGGAAAGGCCTCGCCTCCCGCGTGTCGCTGACCACCCTACAGTGAGCCCCACCGTGAGGCTGCCCAGGAGGGCAAAGCGCCCCCCCTGCCAGAGCCCCAGCAGAGACCCCTTCCGGAACTTGGGCTGCTCAGCCCTTTGTGTCACGCTTGGCAGTGACACAGGCAGGTCCTCGCTCCCGCCACGTGCGGGCTGGGACGTTACCTCCGGCAGCTGGGACTGCAGGCTCGCCTTCTCCGCCAAGGCGTCGTCGATGGACTCCAGGAAGCTCCTCTCCACCACGTCAAAGGCCTGGAGGGACAGAGGAGGGGCGACAGCCGGCTCAACACACTGTCAGCTGATGCTCAAAGGCCTCCCACCGACAGCAACAAACTCCCCGTGCAGGTATCCGTGTGACGAGGGCTCCACACCCTGCAAGGCCCCTGCTGCTTCCTGGAACCGTCCGACAGAGACAGTCAGCCCCTCCCTGGGGCTGCACACGTGGCCCTGCACAGGGACTGGAGGCAGGAGACGGTGCAGGGGCCCGATGTGTGGGCGGGAAGCCGGGGCGGCCAGTGTGCACAGCTCTGCCTCAGTCCCCCACCTGTGGGGAGCAACTCAGACTAGACTAAGTTACTGGAATTAAGACTTATTCTATGCATCTGCTCTCCCACAATATGGCGCTGGGAGAGGAGGAAACAGCTTCTACACAGCTGCCTCCAGTTCAACCAATAAGCAGCAGGACCTGCTCGTGATTGGAGGAGAGCAGCGTACTCGGCGTGTGGGTAGCAGAGATGGGATTGGCAGAAGAGGACTATAAAGGAAGAGAGACAACATGCACCAGGAACATCTATCTGAAGGAACACCTGTGCAGCCCCCGAGAGAGCCGGCCGGCGGTGTGCCGCTCCCCCGCGGAAGTGGGGAAAGTGGCTAGGGGGAACCACCCTTCCACAGAGGTGGAAGGGACGGTAGCCAACCCGGGAAGAACCAGCAGCAAACCCGGGGAGGGCCGAGCAGACGAAAGAACAGCGCAGGGTCCTGTGTCGCTCCTCCACGAAGAGGGGGAGCGACATAATGGTGCCGTGACTCGGATATGAAGCCTAGGCAGGGTTTAGTGTCGTTCCTCCATGAAGAGGGGGAGTGACACCCACCTTCAGAAGAGGTGAGCTCGGCTGGAGGAGGCTAGACAACGCAGCTCCTCCGAGAGCCTTCCTCTCCAACCCTGCTGTCCCTGAGCCCTTCCCCCCGACGTGGGGCTGCCGAACTCACTGGCACAGAGCCCTGGGGGGCAGGAAAAGGCTGGGGCCGCTGTTCTCCAGGATCAGGAAGCCCCATTCTTGTCCAGAATAACGTGCCAGGAGGCGCACTTCCCCCAGGAGAGGCCAGGAGGGAGCGGGCAGAGACACAGACCGGCCCAGGGGCCACAGCTGGCTGCGGTGGGGAGGGCTCTTCCCGACTGCCCCGCGTGCTTGCAGAACCCAGAGGCCGCGCACCGGCCGTGGAAGGAGAGGGCTCACTGGACGGGACCCCAGCTGCTCCCACCGCTCCTCACATCCCAACCCTTCTCCAGCACGGCCGCCTGCAGTGCCAGCCCTGCCAGTCACCGAAGCACGGCTGCTCCTTGCCTGGCCCCAGATCGAGGGGGAACCCTTGCTGCCGGGAGCCGCGCCCAGGGCAGCTCTTCTGCAGGGGTCTTCACACCGACCATGGCAACATTTCATGGTTGCAAGGCCCAAGTTCTGGCGGAGGAGACCAGTGCAGCTGGGCCCCGCCAGCCCAGGCCCCGGTACCTGCAGCAGCACGCGCCGCACGTCAGCCTCTGTGTGCTCGGCGTTGAGCTGGCCCAGCAGGAGCTCCGCGGACAGCCGCTGGGCCACAAAGTTGGTCACCCTGTTGCCATCATAGCCGTTGAACACGCCATACAGGAAGCAGTTGTTCTCACTCCTGGGAAAGGAGTCGGGGAGATGAGAGCTACGGGCCATGGCTTCAGGTGCCCACCTGGGGCCTCCCACTTTGGCCACCTTTTCACTCTGGCTACGATCTCATGGGGTGCCCTCGTCCTTCCACTGTAGCTGGTGGGAGGGACAGCAGTCACCTGCCAGGGGCCACATCTCACTGGCCAGCCCTGTGTGGGGTAACTGCGAGACAAGCTTGCAGACTGCCCGGCCCGGAAGGGCAATGCGGCACACACACCTGAACTTGAGCCAGTTGTCCTCTGGCGGGTGGATCTCGGTGCCCTTGCCATCAGCGGAGTAGCTGCGGTTGGAGGCTGAGCCCACCCCGGAGAGGTGGCAGAGTGGCAGGTCGTCTGTCCAGCTGGGCTGCTGCTCCTGGGAGGGACACAGGAGATCCTGAGGCGACACCTCCCGGCCCAGACCAGGCCCCACCGCACCTCTCTCTCCTCCAACAGAAACGCAGGCCCGGAGACGCCACTCCTTTCTGGAAAGCCGTTCTGCGCGTGTGAACAGACAGCCGCACGAGGGTCTGCTGTTCTTACGGCCAGTCCACAAACTCAGTCCAAGGGCTCTGCTCCCCAGCGCAAAGCCCGGGCCAGGGCTCCCAGGAGTGGGCTGTGCCACCTAACTCCTGCGCAGAGCAGAGGAATCCCCAGACACTGGTTAGAGGTACACAGTGCAGGTCCCACGCCCAGTACATCTGATCTGGGAGGGGCCCTGGACACCCGCCCTGTAGGAGCTGCCGCTACGATTCTCACGCAGGCAGCTTGAGGCCCAGCGCCGTCCCACAAGCCAGCCTCACTCGTCCAGCCACGGGGGCCTCCACCGCTCCCGCTCCTCACTGCACCGTGTCCTCCCCCGCTCCCTGTCACATCCTGCCCAGCAACACGGAACGCCTGCGCCCTTGCGCACCCCTTTCTTTCTGTGAGGAATGCCTCCTTGTCCCCTCCTTAAATGAGCAATCTGCACGACCACTTCCTTTCTTCTCAGTGTTGCTGTTGTTGGAAGGCAGAGCGACTGAGAGCTCTCCCTGCGCTGCTTCACTCTCCAGATGCCTGCAACCGCTGAGGCGGCGCCAGGCTGAGGCCAGGAGCGGGAGCTCCAGCCAGGCTTCCCACGTGGGTGGCAGGGACCCGAGGACTTCCGAGGGTGCACATTAGGAAGCTGGACTGGAAGGGGGGCTGGGACCCAACCCAGGTCCTTGGTACGCAATGAGCCCAGCACCCGCCTCCCTCTTCTTCCTGTCGCAATTCTCCGCGTTCCCAGGGACACTCCAGCTCAGGAAGTCCTCCTGCCTATGGCCACCTCGGGTACCGCTACTGCTGCCAGACTCCCATTCTCCCCGGCAGATCTCCAACCAGGCCAAGCGGCGAAATCACAGCAGTGCTTCATACATGAGCACACGCACGCTGCCCCCGCCCCAGCAGAAACGCACGGCTCTGACTTCCCGGTCTCCCTGAGGCCGGGTGCAGGTCTACCCCTGGCTCTTGACGAAAGCCCGTCTTCCACCCGGCCTCCGTCCCTGGGAGCTGTGTCCCGCTCCCGAGGACATCCTGGGCCACCGTGAAGAACAGGAGTAAACTGAAATAACCAGGAGAATCGAAGTTCAACTTCAAGGAAAACAGTCAAACCCTGAATAAAAGGCTTCCCTGAACTAGGAGGTGTGCCTGCTGGCGGCACAGGGGCCAGCGCGGGTCCAGCAGGGACGGGACAGCGCTCTGACAGGCTCCTGCATCAGCCGTGCAAACTTCGTGTTCCGGCTACTTGCACACGGACGAGGAGCAGCTGCAGGGATTCCCACTCTAACTGCGTTCCTGTCGCATTTATCTGCTTTAGTTCCGCACTCAGCACCCTGAGCAGCTTCTGCAGGGCGTGGGCGTCTGTCTGGTTTCTAGATTAACACGCAGTGAGACTTTCTTGGGTGTGCAGTTCTACAAACGTCGGCACATGTACAGATTTGTGTAACTCCTGCCACCATGAGCCCCAGAACAGCCCCGGCACCCCCAAAGTGTCCTGCTGCTCCCCAAGTCCTGGCAGCCACTGGTCCGCTCTCCCCCCCCCCCCCCACGCTGGCTCTGTCCCTTCAGACACAAGTGAAATGACGCAGGACGCGCGCTCTGCGCCGGCCCAGCAGCGGCGGGCGTGTCCACACACGAGACGTTTCCCTCAGTGCGGATGGAGTCAGAGGACAGCTGAGCTGCTTCGGGTCCTTAGTGACGGTGCAGACAGCTGCTATACACGTTCACGTGCAGGGTCTGTGTGAACGTAACTTTCCATCTGTCCCCAAACGGACACGCGAGTGAGACGGCTGGGCCGCGTGCTAAGGCTTCCGCGCAGGCTGTCTTCCCACTGCATCCCCTCCAGGGATGAGCGCGGCCCGCCGCTGCCCCTTCCCCGCAGAGGCACTGAGCCGCTGCCCCTTCCCCGCAGAGGCACTGAGCCGCTGCCCCTTCCCCGCAGAGGCACTGAGCCGCTGCCCCTTCCCCGCGGAGGCACTGAGCCGCTGCCCCTTCCCCGCAGAGGCACTGAGCTTCCCAGGGCACAGCGGCGCACCCCACCCCACGTGGCTCTGACTCCAGCGCGCTGCATGGCTGCTGGGGAACCGCCTGCGCCTCCCTGGGGGAGGGTCTAAGCCCGCCCACTTTTAAATGGGTTGTTTGTTTCAATCACCCAGTTCAAAGAGTTCTTTACATAGTTTGGATGAAGCCCTTCCTCTGATGTGGGATTTGCCCATGTTTTTCAAGTTTGTAAGTTTTCATTTCCTTCACTGCTTCAGTTACACTGTGTCCAGGAGCCTCCCCTGCTCAGCCCTGGGGTCACAGCCAAGCACCCGCCCAGCCCAGGTCCCGGAGACCTCCGGTCTCTGCCGAAGTTCTGTACTTTGACGTTTCCCGTTTAGATCTGTGATCCATATTCTGAATTAGTTTCTGTATAAAGTAGAGGGTTTAGTAGAGTTTTCTTCTGCATGCAGATGTCTAATCACTCCACAGCATTTGCAGGAAAGACGGGTCTCCCTCCGCGGAGTTCCCTGTCAAGGCTGAACTAGCAGGGCAGGTGCCGTGGCGCACGGCTCAGGCCGCCTCCCAGCACGCTGGCATCCCCACTCTGCAGCTCTGCTCCGGACCCAGCTCCCTGCTGATGCACCTGGGAGGCAGCAGACAACGGCCCCAGTGCTGGGGGCCCCGGCACCCACGTGGGAGGCCCGGATGGAATTTGGGCACCTGGCTTCAGCCCAGCCCAGCCCTGGCTGTTGTAGCCATTTGGAAAGCAAACCAGTGGATGGAAAACTTCTGTCCCTCTGCCTTTGAAGTACATGAAAATAAATAAACATCAAAAAAAAAAAAAAAAAAGCAAGGCTCTCCATTAAACAACAAAGTTAACTGCCTGCATCATGGGGGTCTGGAATCTTCTCTGTCCTGCTGACCTGCTGTCTCTCTCCGCCAACACGCTTTGACTCCAGCTCCCAGGGAGTCTTCAGCCAGCCAGTGGGATGCCTCCTCTAACTTTATTCTGCTTTGTCAGAGTTGTCTCGGCTATTCCATGTGCCTTCCACACAAATCTTAGCAGCAGCTCCTCTGCAGCTACAGAGAAAGTCTTGGGACTTGGAGGGGAGTGGCTCGCACGCCTGCATCCACCTGGGGAGAGCTGGCACCTTCACTCTGCCGACGCGCCAAGCCAGCTCCATGGCACGCCTCTGCACTCCGTCTTCCGCACAGGACTTTCACTTGGGTATTTGTATGCACACCACCTCCCCGCGAGGTCTGAAAAGCGAACGCCTCTTAGAACAGAAGACTCGACCAGAACCTGCGAATGGACCTGCAACGGAACTGACGTTCCGCTCGGCTCCCGAGGACTCAGGAGCTAACGCCTGCACGTCAAAGTCAGCGACTGTTGCTGCACAACACAACAGAACTCCTAGCTCGTCTGTCTCATCCCGAAACCGTCTCTAACATGAACTACGTCTTTGCAGCCCACCTGCGACACTTGTGTTACAGTGTATTCAATTAACACACACACACACACATTCATTCCACAAACACTTGCCAAGCGCTTCTAGCACGGCGGCATTAGTCTAGGCACCAGGGGACACCTGGCGAGAAAAGGGAGGGGCCTTGCTTGAGCCCCACCTTGGACGGAGACTTTAAACAGGCCAGCAAGGAGGGTGTGTGCTACGGAGAAAACGCATCAGGGCGGCAGGCCAGAGCCGTGCCTGGAGCTCTCTGGGGAGGGGACTGTGGGCAGTGGCCGTTCTCGGGGAAGGAGCAGTCGGGGCAGAGGGAACAGCACGGCTCTGAGGTGGGAAAAAGTGAGGTAGGCTTAGGGAAGCGTCAAGGCCATGGGCCTCGGCCTTGAGTGCAGGGAAAGTGGTTCCAGGCCAGGTTCACACATGCACACACACGCACACACCCGTGTGCTTGGCGTGAGGGCCATCCTGGGCCTTCTGGGCCACGTACGGAGCAAGGTGCCGGGGTATTCACTCATTTTCCAGGCCGGGACTTGGTGCCCATCGTCCCTGACATGAAGTCCGAGGGCATCCCCACCATGAGGGGCTCACGAAGGGCCCAGCCAGCCTGGCAAACACCTCCCACGCAGTCTCCTCCCCCTGGGACGGAGCCACACGCAAGGCTGAGCCTCAGCAGAGTCATCTCCTCGGGCAGGAACGTCCCGCGGCCCCCCATGAAGGGCCACGTGCGCTCCCACCATGCAAAGCTGTGGTCCAGGCTGCAATCCCAGTGCCTCTGCCATTACCAAACTCCCTCTGGGCAGACACACAGGCTTCCAGGGGCTTGAATCTTTCCAATATCCCACACTTTTCGGTGAGAAATGAACGCTCCCCCAACAATTTGTGGGCTCACTTGACACCTGGAGACACTGAAAGCCCTTAAAACTGGGGCCAGCGTTGTGGCGCAGCAAGCTAACCAACCCACTGCCTGCAGAGCCGGCATCCCATAGGGGCGCTGGTTTGAGTCCCAGCTGCTCCACTTCTGATCCAGCTCCCTGCTGATGCGCCTGGGAAACAGTGGCAGATGGCCCAAGGACCCCTGCGCCCACACGGGGGCCCTGGTATTAGTCCCTGGCTCCTAGCGTCAGCCCAGCTCAGCCCCAAGGTGTTGTAGCCATTTGGAGAGAGAATCAGCAGATGGAGGATCTCTCTCTCTCTCTCTGTAACTCAAATAAATAAAATAAAATCTTAAAAAAAAAAAAAGTGCTTAAAACCATCTTGCACACATAAGAGGGAAACCAGCTGGGACCTGCGACCGAGGAACCCGCCGTGTCGGCGCGTCGGTGCCAGGCCCTCGCTCTCAGGAGCAGGCTGGTGCTGTACTGACCCCCACAGCCCATCTGCCTGACACGGGACAACCGTCTCCCACGGAAGAGAACCTGCACCTGTGCCTGTTCCTCAAGCACAGGGGACTTCAAAAAGTTCACGGAAAAACGAATAGAAGGTGCGTCTGGGGGCTGGCGTTGTGATGCTGTGGGTTGAGCCGCCACCTGCAAGGCAGTGGTCCACCTTGGAGCCCTGGTCTGAGTCCCGGCTGCTCCACTTCTCATGTGCCTGGGAAGGCAGCAGAAAATGGCCGAAGTGTTCGGGCCCCTGCCACCCACTTGTGAGACCAGGATGGAGCTCCAGGCTCCTGGCCTCAGCCTGGCCCAGCCCCAGCCACGTGGCCATCTGGGGGACAGATCCGTGGGTCAAAGCACTTGCTCGACTGTCTGCATCTTCCTCTGTCACTGTGCCTTTCAAAGAAACTGATTTAAAAACAAAGGTAAGTTTATTTTGGTGCAAAAGCTTTGAAATCTATGCGTATTTTGTGCATTATATGCATTTTCCACGAGCCTTCTGAAGATCTTTCTGGATACTTCCTCACTGTTAAGTGCTTTTATCTTTTTTTAATCTGGCTTTCATAATGTTAAGCTAGTGATACTTCAGAGATTTGTGTTACTGACTGGCAAACAGTGTTTGGGTCAATAGACAGATCCCAGGGCAGTTACTTAGGGAACGCGCAGCCAGGGCGCAGGCTTGCCCCCACGCCCCCCACCTCACACCTCAGGCTCTGGGAGTACCGCCCAAGGCCCTAGGGCCCCTTCCTGTCCAACTGGGCACCCCACGCGCCGGCCCTGACCATGGGCCCTGTGGCTGTGGCCTCCTGTCTCACTGACCACTGCTGTCCCCACCTCCACGTCTCTGGAGACAGCCCAGTGCACGTCACTCAGCAGTGTTGACACCGCACGCCATACGCTAGACCGTGACAGCTCCTCCCCGCATGCGGGCACTCCTTCGGCAGCAGGCTCTGCCAGGAGCACGGCCCCCAGAGCGACGCCACCCTGACTCAACAGCAAGGGACGGGAGAACTCAGGAGGCTCCCCCTGGGGAGCGGCAGCGTGTCTGTCCTCCCTGATTTTACCCAGGGACCAGTCTCCCTCACGCTGCCGCGGCGGGCGGAGTCTAGACCTCGTTCTCCCAGCGCCTTGCGTCTCCCCTAGGGGCTCTCCACACGCAGTATCTCGGCCGGTGCCAGGAAACCACCAGATGGCCAAGGCTCCTGCTCGCCTCCCCCGCATTTCTGAGCAGTGTCCGGAAAGGTCACGTATCTTCTACGCACGGACTGCCACCCCTCCACCCTGCACACTGATGCACGCTTTCTCCCACCCCCGAAATGCCAGGGCTGCCCACCCGCAGCCCGCGGAGCAGGAGCCCTGCAGAAGCTGTGAACCGGGTGGGCGTCCACAGCACGGCCAGCGCAGGGCTGGGTAGCGAGGCACTGCTCACGGGAAATTCGACAGGAAGTACGGCGTTTCCAAAGGCCTGAATTCGACCCGACTGTGGTATGAAATACATCCACGGTCATCAAGCCGTACTGCACGGGATGCCCCGGCACACTCGCTCCAGCCCAGCTTCGTCTCAAACAGGAGCGCCCAAGGCCCCACGCAGACTCGGCCCCGAGCCCGAGGCAGCACGAGTGCACAAAGCACGGCCGCTGAGGCCGCAGCCTGAATAGCAAACACCGCTATGAAAAGGCCGAGTGTTTCTGTGAAAGCGGCGAATTCCTGAGAGCAGAGAGGAAGCTCGGAGGGGGAGGAGGCCCAGGAAGATGGCTCCGGTGGGGCGCAGCAGGTCCCCCCGCCACAGGCCTCACAAGGCCGCTACTCATCGGCGGCCGCATCCCTCTCCCGCGATGACCCACTTCTCCGCCAGCCCCACTCTGGGCGCCCACCGTCCTGCTGGGGCCCCGTCAAAGGCTCTCTGTGCCACTCATCACCGTGGAGACCGCCGCGGCCGGGCAGCAGCTGGCCCCACGGCGGGCGGCGCGTTTCAGGGCTCCAGGTGATGGTCAGGGACAGTCTGCAAGTCTGCACGGATGTTGTCACGTGAGTGGCCACAGTTAACACACGCTGGAAACAAATACAACGTTTGCACCCACGACCTCGATTTAAAAAACTGACTCCAAACTGATTTGCTTTCCTACTCGGCAGTGTGGGCAAACCGACACTCCGCTCTGTTCCAGGGCTGCCGCCGTGGCAGGCAAAGGCCGCTCTGGGGTCACACCTGGACCCCGGGCTCCTTGACTCCTGTTCCACACCCAATCCGCAAGCAAGGCCCTCTTCTTCCTCCCAACACGCCGCCACCCCTCGGCCATCACCTGGCTGACTCGGGGGCCCCTCGGCACGTCCAGGCCTCCTCACACCTCCAGCTGCACAGGGGTCATTCGTCAGATCACTTCAGGCGGAAGCTCCACGCCAGGCTCTGAGCGGAACCCACGCAGCCCGCCGGCCCGGCTCCCTCCGACCTGGACCGCACTGCCTCCCCGGTGCAGGGGCTCCTGCAAGGGCAGGCCTGGCACCCCACACCTCTAGCCCCAGCTCTCCCACAGCAAGCTGTCCCGCCTGGAGAGGTCCCCGAACCCCAGAGGGAACCCAGAGCACTCCTCCACATTTGCCGCTTACTGCGGCTTCCCTACCGGAACCCAGGCTTCCCGAGGGCGGTGCCCCCACACCTGCCCTGCGCCTGCTGCGTGGTGAGCGCACAGGCACCCTGGGGGGGACGGCAGACCTCAGGGCTGGGGCAGGCCCATGCTGGGCTACAAGTGTCAGGAGTGAGTTCACGCCGCGAATGCTCCCGGTCGGGCGGAACCCAGGCTCAGGGGTGCCCACGTAGGATGCAGTTTTATCGGGCTAAAGGGGCCAGGATCTTCCGAACATATCAAGCTGTCTTCAAAAGTTCTCTTCTTTACAAACCCTAAGATACCACAGTGCTGGGGGGGGGGGGGGGCTGAAAGTGCAGGGCGACACTGCACGCCCTTGCAAGCCAACCCCAGCCCCTCCTCAAGCCCCCACTGACGCTGTCGAATGAGGCAGCCCCACGGCACACAGGCTTGGGACAGCTGCCGCCACCCCCACCGCCCCGCCCCGCGAGGGCACATTGTACACACGAGTCCAGGAATGCCTGTTCTCTCCTCGGCCTGGCAAACCCCTGTGTCCGGAAGCCCCTGAAGCCTTCCGCTGTCCGCCCCGGGCTCCTGACGCAGGCGCACAGGGACACAGAGTGCCTTACACACTGTGCCGGCGGTGTGCACTCCTCGCGTGCTGGGCTGCACACAAGGGGTGGGCGGCCAGACCAGCAGGCGTCCGAGATGCCCCCACCAGATGGAGGGCAGCAGGGGCCGGGTCAGCGGCCACGTCCTGCCTGGACCGGGGATTTCCAGGTCAGGGTGGGGGCAGGAGTCTCCTCCCATCCCTCCCTTGCACCAACACGCTGTTTGGGGCTGACGCTTCCTCCACCCTGAGGAGACGTTCCGGGGCCAGCAAAGCTCAGCCTCTGGCTAACGCGATCACCAGGGCTCCTCACACCCGGGTGCAGGGACGCTGCCCCACCCACGCAGGCCACGCAGCCTGCACCACAGCGCTTCCTGGCCTCTCTCCCCAAAGCCACGTCCAGGGGGCCCTTCCCAGGTGCTTCTCAGCCCTTTCCCTCCTTCCAGAGCAGGGGGCAGGCCGTGTGACCAGACAGGCGGGCCTGGGGGCGGCCACAGGTGGGGAGCGCAGCCAGCGACCTCAACACCGGCACCCAGAGTCCACGCAGAGCCTGTGCCAACAGGAGGGCGGACGGCTCCAGCCTCCACCTAGCGCTGACCCTGGCCACAAACGCTGGACTCCTCACTTGACAGACACGGAGCCAGGGCCCGGCACACACGGACTGGGCAGGGGACACTCGATGGTGGAAGGCCTGGAGTCACAAGTCCCTCTCCGGGGTACTGCACACCCCAACACAGGAGGCAGACACGCCCCCCCTCCCCGGGCGATTCCAGTACAGAGCCGTGACCGAGACCCTGGCCGGCTGCTCAGAGGCGGCCCCTGGGCAGGGGTGCAGCGGAGGGTCCACAGTGGGAGCAGGGGTGAGCCCCAGCCCTCACCTTAGGACATGGAAACGTTGGCCCAAAGCCAGCGCGGGAGCGCCGGGACCAGGACCCAGCCGCCAGCCCCCAATGCACCGCCCCCCAGGTTGGGCCCAGCGGCTGCGGGGGGCCGGACGGTGATCCCGCCTCCGCCACTCGCCAGCTGCGGGGCCCGGGGCAAGTGAGCGCCTCGCTGCGCGCGGTCCGCGTCTGTACACTAGGGATGACTGCCGCGCCCACCTCCGGAGGCAAAGCGGTGAGCACAGCGTCCTAACACGCTGCACGCTCCGCACTGCTGCGGCTATTATTAATCATTATTTCACAACTGCCGGGCCCGCGGTGGGCTCACCCCCGTCCGGCTCGGCCGCCGCTCGCGGCGTTCCTTCCCGCCTGAGCACGCACCCACCCCCGGCCCCCGGCAGGCGCCAGCGGCCTCCACGCGCAGCGACCCTGACCCCCACGGCGGCTGCAGCGCGCACGCGTGGGCCGAACCCGCCTCGGGTGCCCCCGCGCCACAGGCGCCGACCGGGGACCGGCGGGGGGACAGGGGAGGGCGGCGGTCACACCTCGCCACGGCCAGGGAGCCGCTCTTGCACCCGACAGCCCCCCGGGGCTGCCAACCCCCAGCCCGGAGAGCCGGCTGGTTCCTCACACTCTGCAGCAGGCTCCTCCTCTGCGCCGCCATCTTGGAGGGACCCCCGCCGCGCGCCCGCCTCCTGGGGGAGCAGCGAGAAGAGCGGGCTAGAGCGGCCTGCGACGGGGTGGGTGGGGCCAAGGAGGACCGCGCCGCCCGGGCGCATGCGCACAGCGCCACCCCGCGGCCGCAGCGCGGCGTCTGCGCAGGCGCGCTCTGCTGTGTTTTGCTTTCGCGAGGCCCGAAGGGAAAATGCCGGGAAGGTTCGAAGCGGCTTCGCGTTCGCTTTGGCCTCCTCGGCCGTGTTCATCCGCACGCCTGCCCCAGGAAGCCTTTCAGATGCGGGTACTGAGACCCCGGGTTGGGGGTTCTTGGTGCACGCAGCGGTGTTGGCTGTTAAGAGAGCAAGGCTTGCCCGGCCTTCGGCAGCCGACGCGGCCATGGGCGACGACATGGCGCTGCGAGTGGGGGAGAGAGGTGTGCGGGTGGGGCGCGCAGGGCACAGGGAGCGAGGGGAAGAGGAGGGACGGGGCGAAGCCGGGCGGGAGTTCCACCTCCTCCTAGACTTCCGGGCGACGATGGAGGGGCGGTCGGCGGCGGGCGGGGCCGCATTGTGGTCAGGAGGTGACCGGGCTCCCTCCTGCCTGGGTTGTGTGATGGGCAGGTGGCCACAGATGCGTCCAGATGTCGGGCAGGATCGCGTGGGTGTGGGAGGAACGAGAAGGGAGTGGCCGTGGGTTCAGCTTGGGTGGGCGGAGCCGGAGGTGTTGAGAGACCTGCAGGAGGGGAAGGCACAGGGGCTGGCGCTGAGGCGAAGCGGGGAAAGCCCTCGCCTGCAGTGCCGGGGCCCGTGTGGGCGCGGGTTCGAGCCCCGGCTGCTCCTCTTCCCATCCAGCTCTCTGCTGTGGCCTGGGAAAGCAGCGGAGGATGGCCCAGGTCCTTGGGCCCCTGCACCCGTGTGGGAGACCTGGAAGAAGCTCCTGGCACAGCACTTAACGCTGCCATTTTGGGAGTGAACCAGCAGATGGAAGCTCTGTCTGTCTGTCCGTCCCTCTCTCCCTCTGTAACTCTGCGTTTCAAAGTAAATATTTAGGTCCGGCGCCGCGGCTCACTAGGCTAATCCTCTGCCTACGGCGCCGGCACACCGGGTTCTGTCCCGGTCGGGGCGCCGGATTCTGTCCCGGTTGCCCCTCTTCCAGGCCAGCCCTCTGCTGTGGCCCGGGAGTGCAGTGGAGGATGGCCCAAGTGCTTGGGCCCTGCACCCCATGGGAGACCAGGAGAAGCACCTGGCTCCTGCCTTCGGGTCAGCGCGGTGCGCCGGCCGCAGCGGCGGCCCATTTGGGGGGTGAACCAATGGCGAAGGAAGACCTTTCTCTCTGTCTCTCTCTAACTCTGCCTGTCAAAAAAATTTAAATAAAAAGAAAGTCACATCGGTCCTTAGATAGTGTGGATCAGGGATCAGAGCCCAGAGCAGGGGCTGAGCCTGGGAAGAGAAGAGAGGAGGGGGAACTGCGGGGAGGGTGTGGGCAGCAGGTGAGGGATGGCTGAGGGAAGTCCCTCAGGTTTGCAGGTCTCAGGTCTGGAGGCCGTCGACCCCGCGATTGGTGTAGAACGGTAGGACAAGGGGTCGGCGCTGTGGCGCAGCAGGTTAACACCCTGGTCTGCAGTGCCGGCATCCCATATGGGCGCTAGTTCGAGTCCCGGCTGTTCCATTTCTGATCTAGCTCTCTGCTGTGGCCTGGGAAAGCAGTAGAAGATGGCCCAGGTGCTTGGGCCCCTGCACCCGTGTGGGAGACTCAGAGGAAGCTCCTGGCTTTGGATCCGTGCAGCTCTGGCCGTTGCAGCCAATTGGGGAGTGAACCCTTGAATGGAAGACCTCTCTCTCCCTCCCTCCCTCCTCTCTCTGTGTACTCTGACTTTCAAATAAATAAATCTTTAGAAAAAAAAAAAAAGGCTGCCTAGCAGTTGGGAACCTCTGCTGTGCCTGCGCTGGAGGCGCGGTTGTCGACCGGAGCCCGAGGTGAGCTCTGGACAAGCACTTGTTTCAGGTTGGCTGGGCAGGGCAGCCACAGGCGGTGCCACTCGTCCAGGTTTGAACAGAAATGAGGCTTTGTTGTCTCTTGTTCTGCCCGAAGCTGTTACCTGGCCAGCCTCCCCATCTCTCCTCCCCTCCGTGCCCTGCCCCCAGGCCATCTCAGAGTCACTCAGGGCGAGGAGAGGGACTGTCGCTGTCGAGCTGGGCCTCACATGGCCCAGGATGACCGCGTGGGCTCCAGCCGTGCTGTCCGAGTTCGACCAGCAGAGAGGAGGAACGTGCCGCCTCTTTTCCTTTATCAAATGAACTTTGCTTTACAGATTTATTTATCTGAAAGGCAGAGTTTCAGAGAGGGAAAGAGAAGCCTTCCGTCCTTTGTGTCACATAGCTGCCGGAGCCAGGAGCCAGGAGCCTGGAGCTCGCTGATTTGGGTGCTGGCCTCAAGTAGGCAGTGGCTTAACCCGCTGTGCCCCAGTGTTTGCTTTCCAACAATTTTTTTAAACCATTTTTATTTAACTGAGAGGCAGAGAGGTCTTCCATCCACTGATTCACTCCCCAAATGCCCGCAATGGCCAGAGCTGGGCCAGTCTGAAGCCAGGAGCTTCTTCCGGGTCTCCCACGTGTGTGCAGGAGCCCGAGCATTTGAGCCATCTTCTGCTTCCCCAGGCCACAGCAGAGAGCTGGATTGAAAGTAGAGCAGCTGGGACTCAAACCTACAATCTCATGGGACATCGGAACTGCAGGCGGAGCCTTAGCCCAGTACACCACAGTGCACAGTACACGACTGCTTTTCCAACAGTCTTTTCCTTTATAGGCGCATGGAGGTATCACCTGATGCTGGTACGGACATCTCGTTGGCTGTGACCAGGTCCCAAGGCCACTGCCTGTGGCAAGGGTGATTGGGAAGTTGAGGCCCTGGACCGAGTGTGCCCCCTGAGAAGCGGGCATGGCTGCTAAGGACTGGAGAAGGCTCCGTGTGACCCTGCCAGGAGGGGCTGGGTGGTTCGTCTGCTGAGGAGGAATCTGGAAAGACGTGTGGGAGCCCCGCCCACGGCCCCCAGTGAGACCTTGGACAAGCACCCCCATCCCTGCGCCCCAGTGTCGTCCTCTGATGACGGGGTGACGAGCCCCTTAGCAGAATGGCTGCCAGGGCTCAGGGAGGTGCCCCCGAGAGCCTGACCTGCAGCACTGCTGTGTTTGCCCCGTGCACTTCACAGGTTTATCTTTTCCAGGATAATAAACGCAGAGGCCTGTGTGCTGGTGTAGAGGACAAAGCCACTGCTTGTGACACCGGCATCCTACACGGGTGCCAGTTTCTGCCCCGGCTGCTCCGCTTCCCGTCCAGCTCCCTGCTGATGGCCCGGGGAAAGCAGCAGCAGGTGGCCAAGTGCTAGGGCCCTGTCAGCCACGTGGGAGACCGGAGGAAGCGCCTGGCTTTGGCCTGGCCCAACCCTGCCTGTTGCGACCCTCGGGAGTGAGCCAGCTGATGAAGATCTCTCTGGCTTGCTCTCTCTGTGGGTCTGACTTTCAGATAAATGAATACGTCTTTAAAAATAATAGATAATAAGTGCACAGGGAGCACCTACTGCGGATTGGGCTCCTGCTGAAGGCTCTTCCCGCCAGATCGGTTTCTCCCTCCGGCCTTGTGTAGATGTCCCAGTCAGCCAGCAGATAGGTGGCAGGATTCAAACCCAGGTCATCTGATGCCGCTCCTGGAAGTCCAGCCTGCGCTTTCCAAACCACAGTGTCCTGCCCGCGCCCCGGGATGTGTCCTCCCTCTGCTCGTGGAAGAACGCCCACGCTCAGCCACCTGGGGAGCATGGACGCACTGCTCGGCTCTTACCTGATAAAATCCCACGCCCAGGACTGTCTCCCTGAATGCTGACTGACTGACTGATTTGAAGGAGTCACAGAGACTGTCCATCTGCCAGTTCACTCCCCAGCGCCAGGCCAAAGCCAGGAGCCCGGAGCTTCTTCCAGGTCGCCCATGAGGGTAGCAGGGGTCCAGCACTTGGCCGTCAGCAGGGAGCTGGATGGGCAGTGGAGCAGCTGGGACACTGGCCAGCGCCCATACGGGATGCCAGCATCACAGATGGCGGCTGTGCCGGCTACGCCACGGCACTGCCCCCATCACGGTTGATCGGGAGCCATGGCTGCTGCTTGCAGGCCGCTCCGCAGCGTGACGGACGGGCTAGTGGGCGGTTAGGGGGTCCCGGTGGGAATGAGGAAAGGGGGCGTCCTCCAGAGAGGGTGCAGAATGCTGGCTTTCAGCAAGGTGAGAGTGCTGAGCCCACTGCATGCCTCTCCCCAGGAGCGGCCTGCAGCAGGACGGAAGCGCCTATCCCTCTCCTGGGAGCTTCCAGCTGTGTCATGAGAACAGCCAGGGAGCGGTGGTCCCACCCTTCTGAGTCCCCGAGCAGACAGATCCCACCCTTCTGTGGCTGTCATGTCCAGAGCAAGCCGGACAGGCCAGGCAGGATGACAGGCCCTGCTTTCCCTGGGTTTTGTCCCTGGCTTGTCTGATCGTTATCTGCGTTCTGTTTTTTTGTTTCCTCTCTCAGTTCCAGGGTGGGGAGGTCTGCCTCTTGGAGCTCCCACTCTTGATCACTGCGAGGTGGTTTCTGACTTAAATAAACCCTGCTTTCCTGTGCGCCTTGTCCGCGTGGAAACGCCTTTCGCGTGAGAGAAAGACCCGAGGCTGTCTTTCTCCGCCACTACCTGACCCCAACCCCGAGAGCCGGGGTGGCGACGGCTCCGCTCTGCGTTTCCTGCCAGGCTGCTCAGCCAGCGTCTGCAACATGGAATCGGCTGCAGCGGCAGAGGGCCGGGCGTTGGGCCGGGCGGTTCAGGCGCTGGTTAGGGTGCCTGCATCCCCCGTCGGTGCCTGGGCTTCACACCTGGCGTCGGCTCCTGCTCCCCGATGCCCGCTGACAGAGCTGGGCCCTGGGCACGCTTGTGGGAGGCCTGGATTGAACTCCCTACTCCCAGCTCCAGCCCCGGCTGTTGTGGGCACTTGGGGAGCAAACCAGAGGTGGGGGCTGTCTCTGTCTGTCTCTGCCTCTCAGAGGACAAACATAAAAAGCCACGGCAGTGCCAGGCTCCCCAAGTGACTTGAAGGAGCGCTGGGACTACAGCTCCGGGCTTCTGGCCTCTCCCACCGGCCCCCAAACCACCGTCTTGCACACTGTCCACCAAAATTCCTGAGGTCTGCTCCTCCAGGGAGCTCAGCGTGGTACCAGCAGCTTCTGTCAGCAGGGCGCCGAGCCTCCAGGGGGTGAGGATGGATGCAAGGATGTCCACTGCGGACAGGAGACAGAGTCCTTCTCTGGGGACAGTGGCAGGAACAAAGTCCTGTGTACTCCAGGGTAACCGCGTGTGGGTTTGCGATCCCTGACAGACATGCTTCTGCCAGAGGAATGGACACCATGCTTACTGGCCCAGGTAGCCCCAGGCCCTATGTTGGGCACACGGCTGGGCTGGTCTCCCAGCATGGACAAAGGTCTGCAGTTCACCATGAGACGTACACATGCCCAGGACGTCAGATAAGTGCCTGGAGACCACACAGAACTCTCCGCCCCCAGGAGCTGCCCTGGAGCCCACAGGTTCCCACAGGCCTCGTGTGGCCTCACAACAGCTACTGTGGCTGCTGTGGCTTGAAAGGGTGAGATGAGGACATGAAGGCTTGGGAAGGGAGAGCAGGAGTCTGCCCGCTCTCCCACTGCCCTCAACCCCTTCCTCGCCTTTTCTCGGCCCTCTGAGCCGGCCAGGAAACTGGCAGACGCCTTGCCCAGCTGCCGCATGGATGGGCCTTCCTGGGCCTGGCTTTTTGCCTTTTTTTTCCCCTTAATTGCAAAAATTTTGCTGTGTGGCTGAGTGGTCTTTGTACTGATCTTTAAAAAAAAAAAAAAAAAAGGATTATTAGAGAGGCAGACACACACACACACAGAGTCACTCCCTAGATGTCTGCAACAGCCAGGACTGGGCTGGGCTCAAGCTGGAAGCTGGGAATTCAACCCAGGTCTCATGCGTGAGTGGCCATGCAGCAGCTGGAGGCAGGCGCCGGAAATCAAACCCGGGTACTCCAGCATGGGACGCGGGCACCTCACCCGGCACCGATCACGTAGTGGGGGTGTGGAATTCCTCGGGTGGATCTTCCACCATCTTCACGTGCTTCGTACACGTGCTTCCAGTTGAGGGCTTTGTGAGGAGCTCTTCATCACCGGCCATGAAAGCCATCGCATTTTATTTTTAAGATCTGTTTGTTTGAAAGGCACAGTGAGAGAGAGAGAGAGCTTTCTCTCATCCACTTCCCAAATAGCTACAGTGGCCAGAGCTGGGCCAAGCCAAAGCCAGGATCCAGGAACACGACCGGGATCTCCCACATGAACGGCAGCAGCCCAAGCACGTGGGTCAACGTCTGCTGCCTCCCAGCGCGCCGGGCAGGGAGCTGGACTGGCAGTGGGGCAGCGGGACTTGAACCCGTGCTCACACGGGATGCTGGCATCGCAGGCAGTGTCTTAAGCTGCTGCACCGTGATGCCTGCCCCCCATTTTCCTAGCCATCTGCGTTTCTACACAGCCAAGTCCCTCAGCGTTTCTCTCCATGGGCTCTGTCCTCTGTGATGTGCTGAGAAGGACCTGGCTTAGCCTGAATTCATATGAATATTCCCCAAAATGATCACCTTTGTTCCATTTGGAATTTTAATGCAATGCAAGGTTGTTTCCAGATACGGAGCCAAGTTCTTATTAAATTCATTTATTGAGTAATCTCCTGTCCTCACTGTTAGCTTTATCAGCTCTGTAAATCTCACACACTGGTGTCTTTGTTTGCAAAACCCCCGGCTCCCTGGGATGTCACGGGGATTAACTGAGGTAAGCTCTTCAGAGCCGTAAGCACGGGACCCAGGATCGGCGCCAAACACGTTGGTGCTCTTCCCTGTCCGCTCCTCCTGCCGTGTGCTCCTAGCACTTGACCTTGGGAGGCTGGCAGGAATTCTGGACGCTCGGAAGGTGCTTTCCAAGGCCCCAAATGGCTTTCTTGGCCTGTCGCCACCCTCGCCACGGTGGCCTTGCTCATCGGGGCTGGGACGGACCAGCTGGAGCCCAAAGCACAAAGAGAGGGAGTCAGGGAAGACTTCACAGGGGAGGTGACCTTCAGGCTGGGTCTGGAGGGAGGAGAAGCGGGAGAGGCTTCCCAGGCCAGGAGAGCAGCACGGCCAGAGAAGGGGAGGGGAGCGTGAGCGGTGGCCACAGTCAGCTGGGGCAGGAGGCAGGAGATAAGCCAGGGAGCCATGTGGGTGCACCAGCAGGAATTGGCTTTGCCTTCTAAGGGAAGGGGCTCCAATTTTTTTTTTTTTATTATTTACTTACTTTATTTGAAAGGCAGAACAGGGGCCGGTGCTGTGGCGCAGTGGGTTAACATCCTGGCCTGAAGCGCCAGCATCCCATATGGGTGCCAGTTTGAGACCCAGCTGCTCCACTTCCAATCCAGCTCACTGCTAAGGCCTGGGAAAGCAGTGGAAGATGGCCCAAGTCCTTGGGCCCCTGCACCCGCGTGGGAGACCTGGGAGAAGCTCCTGGCTCCTGGCTTCGGATCGGCGCAGCTCCTGCCGTTGCAGCCAACTGGGGAGTGAGCCATCAGATGGAAGACCTCCCCCCCCTTCCCTCTCTCTGTCTCTGTCTCTCCTCTCTCTGTGTAACTCTGACTTTCAAATAAATAAATAAATCTTAGAAAGAAAGAAAGGAAGGCACAGCGACAGAAAGAAAGAGGTATCTTCCACCCACTGGTGCCCTCCCCAAATGACTGCAGCAGCCGCGACTAGGCCAGGCTGAAACCAGGAGCCAGGAGCTCCACCCTGGTTGCCCACACTGGTGGCAGGGGCCCAAGCACTTGGGCCACCTCTGCTGCTTTCCCAAGCTCATTAGCGGGAGCTGGATGGGAAGAGGAGTTGGCGGGGACTTGAACCAGGACTATTAATATGGGATACTGATACTGGCCTCCCAAGCAGTGGCTTTAACCAGCCGAGCCGCCATGCGGGCTGTGGTAGGGATTCATTTAAGTGGGAGAGTCACGGGCTCACATCTGTGTTTTGGGAGGATCACTCTGGGCTGGGGAGACCAGTATTAGGAGGCTGCCGAAGGTGTTGGCCACGAGGGGGGAGGGAAATGGGCAGGTTCCAAAAATATCCATCTAGGGCATATGGACAGTCTGGCAGCAAGAGGGGCTGGCTCAGTGGCCGTGTGGGTGGAGCAGGAGCACTGGCCGAGGAGCAGATTTGGGCCCAGGGTGGGGGTGGAGAGGGCACTGAGAAATTCCAATGTCAAAACACACGTACTGCCGTACGCACGCCAGCACCTGCCGCAGACGGAGGGGCCACGGAGGGGGCGGTGGGGAGGGGGGCGCTTGGAAAAATACGTCGGACGCTGAGTGAACAATCCCGGCAGAGGCACGCACGGAGGCTCATTCCCGGGGTGACTGGCGGGCGACGGTGCCCTTCCCTGGCACGGTGATCACGGCCCAAGGAGGGAGTTTGGTGGCACAAGTCATCATTCATTCAGCAGCCTTCAATCAAGCTCCTCCTACGTGCCAGGGGCTTTTGCGTTTAGGACAGAGCCCCAGCCGGGAGGAGGTAGGAACAATACTGAGACAAACAGGTGACCGTGTGTGACAAGCGCTATGGAGGAAAATAAAGAAAGTGTTGGGGGGGGTGGCATTTTAAAAAGGAGTGGCCAGGGCTGGTCCCATTGAAAAAGGGTCATGTGGGCCGGCGCCGCGGCTCACTAGGCTAATCCTCCGCCTAGCGGCGCCGGCACACCAGGTTCTAGTCCCAGTTGGGGCGCCGGATTCTGTCCCGGTTGCCCCTCTTCCAGGCCAGCTCTCTGCTATGGCCTGGGAGTGCAGTGGAGGATGGCCCAAGTGCTTGGGCCCTGCACCCCATGGGAGACCAGGAAAAGCACCTGGCTCCTGGCTCCTGCCATCGAATCAGCGCGGTGCGCCGGCCATTGGAGGGTGAACCAATGGCAAAGGAAGACCTTTCTCTCTGTCTCTCTCTCTCACTGTCCACTCTGCCTGTCAAAATAATAATAATAATAATAATAATAATAAAAAGAAAAAGGGTCATGTGAACAGAGACCTGGGCAGGGAGGCGGAGCATGCCAGGCCCAGGAAGTAGCAGGTGCGGAGGCCCTGAGGCAGGAGCGTGCCCCGTGTTCGAGGCACAGCAGGGAAGACAGTGCGGCTGCATCAAGGGGAGAGTGGCCCTTGTAAAGACTCGATTTTATGCTGAGAAAGATGGGGCTATGCTCTGGGGATATGTGAACCAAGACTTTTCTTTATCTGAAAAGCAGAGTGACAGAGAGATAGCCAAAGCCTGGCACCAGACCCAAGCACTCTGGGATCTTCAGTGTCGTCTTAACTGCTGGGCCAAACGCCCGAGCTGGGTTTTGAAGCCGGCCACGTGGGGCAGGTGTTCCTCTGGACAGCGGGCCGGGCGCCACCGGGGCTGCCTGCACCCGCATCAGAGCGGCGGTGCTGGTCCTGGGTACCCTTGCTTCTTCCCAGCGTACTCCAGTGGACCGGGAAGCAGCAAACCACAGCCCAGGTATCTGGGACTCCTGCCACCCACTTGGGAGACCCAGATGGAATTTCTGGCTCCTGGCTTCGGCCTGGCCCCAGCCCCAGCTAGTACCGCAGGCATCTGGGGAGTGGGCCAGCAGATGGAAGAGCCCTCTTCTCTCTCTCTCACTCTGCCTCTCTCTAAAAAAAAAAGGGGGGGGGGAGCAAAACCGGTTCTGTGCTCTCATTGTCCTCTTGCTTAAGGCGCCTTCATGGTTTAATGAGTCCCCTCAAGGCCATCACCTTCTAACTTCTAAACACATATGCCGGGGTAGAGAGAAACTCCCCAAATGCCAGGTTGGAGGTGGGAGCCGGGAACTCAATCCAGGTATCCCAGGAAGGCGGCAGGGACTCAGGTACGGGAGGCAAAACCACCGCGTCCCGAGGGTGGGCATTAACAGGACACTGGAATCAGGGGCAGAGCCAGGACACGAACCCAGGCACAGCCCCGAGGCCCAAATGCCTGCCCGTCAATCCGACTTGGGGGACAGGCTTGCTCTGGAAAGCCGCCCGCGCCCCTGTGGCGCGCTCTGAACTCGCCCCTTTGTCCTCCCCACCGCCCCTTTCAGGGAACTGTGTTCTCAACCTGGGACTTGTGCGGCCCCACAATGGCGCATCTGGTTCTGGGGCGTGCACGGGACCTGCTTGGAGCACGGCACACACTTCCGGGAGGAAGCGGAGGAAAGGGCGTGCCCAGGGAGGATCCCGTGACAGCGGGCTGAAGGCAGCAACGGCCTGCACCCTGCCCAGCCGTCCACAGCATCTCAGGGCCCTGGGGAAGGGGCTTCGGGTGCAGACGGGGAGCCCGGGGCCCTGCAGCGTCGGTGGCTCGGCCAGGTTCGCTGCAGCCCGGTGTAGGAGTCTGTTTCCCCCGTGGCCGGCAGCAGCCTCGTGCCGGGCATCGGCCTCTTTGGATTGCTGCCCTGGGACCTGGGAAGAGAACCCACCGCCCTCCGCGACCTCAGCGCTGCCTCTACAACCCGCGAATCAGCCCTCCGTCCAGAGCCTCCGCCTCCTCCCGGCTGACCAATCGCTTCACCCCATCTTGGAGGGAGGCGAGCTGATTGGTTAGTCTCCCCCCCACCGGTGGTGAGGGCGTGGCTTATACCTCCATAGGGAGGCCCCTGCTCACAAGCACCGCCCACCCACCCAGGGCCAAGCTCCCTGCGCGCAGCTTCCAACGTGGTGGAGTCGTCGCCTTCCTATGCAGTCCCGTAATCCCTGATCGGCCCCTCCTTCAGATGTATCCCGGTGACCTTCCTGCCCGGACGCTGGGAAGCGGCCTGCGGTGGCGTCCCACACGGCGTGGCATCGAGACACCCTGGGCGAAGCCTCCAGGCCCTGCGGGTGGGGACCCACGTGTCTGCCGCCTGTGCCTTCTCTCTGTGCGACTTCGTGCCTGCCTCCGGGCCCTTCTCAGTCCAGTTCTGCAGGCTAGGACTCGCCCCTGGTGCTGGCCACTCTCTCTGACCCCACCCGGCACTTCCCACAGTCTCTACCTTTGTCTATGTAATGTCCATCTCTCCACCAGATGGCCAGCCCTTGGAGGCAGTGACCATCTGCCTTGTTCCGTGTTGGCCTCCTACTCCGCCGCCTGGACAGTGGGTTCTGGGTAAGTAGCCAGTTCGTGGCCAACTTCGGAACCAGCATCCAGGAAACACACGCATCTGTCAGTGCGTGGGGGTGACCTGGGAGGAGCCAGGCCAAGCTTCTCCTCTTGGTCACCTCTGAGGGCTGGGGATGGGACCAGGACGGGGAAAGCTGTGTATACACACACACCCGGGCACACGTGAGGGGCCGGCCTTTGGCTTCGCCTGTAAGGATCTTGCTTTTTAAGAGGATGGACCCGAGCCACCTTGGGAGGACAGAGCAACACCGACACCCGCGCAGCCCGCGGTGGGTTCTGAGTCTTCACTTTATTGCTACGTCACCAGAAGTCACCACCTTCACTTGTTCACCACACACGGATGACGTCATAAAGGAGGGGGCCGGGGACCACTGGGTCCACTCGTGAGAGCCTGAACCAGGTGGCAGGGGGGAGGGGCTACAGCAGGGGCCCTGGGTGGGGCCGCCCTTCACCGCACACACGCACACAGATATATTTGTGGAGCCTTATATTATACATCTTATACATAGAAAATATATATATTTGTACTATACACAGGCAGTTACGCTGCGGGAGGGGCCGGGGCACCCAGACAAGGGCTGTGGGCACTGGGGAGCAGGGAGCGTCAGGTCCGGGCAGCGCTGGTGGGCAGCTGACCAGTCCACCTGCCCATGCACTCTTGGGAGGGGCACTTCCTCTTCGTGCTCCTTAGAGAATCAGAGGGATTTGCTGTCAAGGCTGGGGAGGCTCCCAGGGGTTGGCTCTTGGTTACATGGGGGAAACTTAGGACACCCCACCCGTTGAGTCTTTGAAGACCAAGAATCACCAGGGAAGAATGGAGTGGCGGGGGTGGGTCTCGGGGCTGGTCCCCTGGGGACATGCCCCTCAATGATCGCACCCCTTGCACCCCTGGGGTTGGCAGGAGCCATCGGGCAGGACCAGACCCTGCTGGGCTGAACCTGCAACTCACTGTCTTCCTGCCAGACTCCACTGGCTGCAAGGGGACCCCAAGTTTCCTGGGCCCTCTCTTGTGCTTGATGGGAGGAGGGAGTTGGAATTCAGCAGCCAGGCCGCAGAAGGCCCTCGTCCAGGGAGAGGCTTGAGAGCAAGGGAGAGGCGGAGCCCACGAGGCTGTCCTTAGCCACTGGTTCACCATTAGCCGCGCGGCAGTGGGGTCAGGAGCCCTGTCCCTCTCATCTTCTTCCCATGGCCGTCCGATGGTGGGACCACAGCCCCCCACCCCACCCACCCCCGCCGTGATTGGCAGGGGTCGGGTAGACTTTCCCAGATCGGGGTCAAGGGAGAGTCTGCAATAACCACCTAGCACTGGTCAAAGCTTAGCCGGCCCCTGCCCCCGAGCCTGGGCAGCACCCCGGGGCCGCCGGGGTCCATCAGCAGGGGAGGCTTTCGGTGGGCAGGGGGCACAAACACTCCCACCCCCAGCGCTCACGCTGGTCTGCTACAGCTCCCCCTGCTCAGCCAGCATGGAACCCACACCCGAGCTGCCCCTCCCCCAGCGGCCATCGCCAACGCCTGGCTGTCCTGTGGGGGGAGCAGACCCGAGTGCGGATCCGTGCCCCGCGGCCAGCTCACTGTGCTCCCTGCTAACTGGGGCAATGGCACTACTTCTCTGCCTAGAGAGCTCCTTCTGGCCTCCAAGGCTGCCCACCCCCAGGGCCCCTCCTCAGGGGAGCCTCGGGCGTGCCCGGCACCCGCACTCGGGAGCTTCACAAAGTTCATGGGAAAATGGAATCGAAGGACAAGTTTGGGTTTAAAAAAGTCGGAATCCATGCAGCTTTTTCATACTACACGTTCTCCACGGACTGCAGAGCCCTCGTCAGCTCTGTGTGATGGACTCGGCTGCCTGCTTCATGCTGGAAGCTCTGTTGAGGGCAGGGGCCACGCACGCCCTCGGCATCCCCCGCACACCTGCCGCGTCGCCGGGTTCCCGGTGGACAGGGCCATCGCCCCTGCTCCACTCCTGGAGGGACTGGTGGACGCTGGGCACAGACAGGATGGCCCCCAGCAACACCCCATGCCCCTCCCCCATCCCGTGTGCCTTGTGCAGCCAAGAACCCCTCCTGCCCCACCGGTCCCACAGCCCTTGTTACCCCTTTGGGGGTCACCTGCTAGCCTCTCCCCCATGGCCTGGGGTCTTCCCCGAGCCCACTGTGCACCTGGGGGCAGCGCCCCCGTGTCTGCAGCTGGCAAAGCCCTGTCTTCTCTGCTCAGCCCCCATGGCGGGCTTTCTGGAAGGCCAGGGACAGCTCGCGGCTGACCCCAGATGCATGGAGCGATGACAGTGTCCCACGCCAGAGGCAAGGACAGGGACTCGGGCACCCGCTGGGCAGCCAGGCCAATAGCCAGGTTGCCACTCACTCACCGGCACCTTGGGCCAGTCCCCTTCACCCCCAACCAGGCCCCCTGTCCACCAGCCCTGGGGGAGGACTCAGCCCGCCTAGAAGTGGGGACAAGGACCGGTCCTTTGGGTGGTCACAAGAGGCCAGGCCTGAGCCCCCGCCGGGCTCCCCAGGGGACGCTTAGCGCAGAGGCTGTACGTAGGGAAGCAGGCGGCAGGGCTGAGCCAAGCTCAGGGGGAGGCTGGCAGGGATGTGGACAAGGGGGCCAAAGACATGGCTGTCTCCGGGGGTCCTGGGGGAGTGCTGGGACACAGCCCCTCCCCAGCCCGCAGCAGTCAGGAGTCTCACTGGCCGAGGGCCCCAAGACCGCCCAGGAGACAGCAGTGCTCAGCGGTGGCGCTCCAGGGACAGGAAGGCAGGCGCTGGGCCCAGGGCCCCTGGGCGAGTGACCGTGACCTCCTGGGTTCTGCTTCCCCAGCCACCAGGTTCCCAGCATGCCTGCCTGAGCCGGGAGGGCCCCGGGAGTGAGCCCCGGGGCGTCCCCGCCTCACCCTGCCTTTCCTAGGGTCTCTTCTGCCTCTTCCACCACCGTCAAGCCCGGGCCTGACACGGTGGGCGCTCCACGAGAGCTTGATGACACAATGCGTGGACGCGAGTCCCCCGGCCCCCAGGCCCCCGCTGGACGCCTACCCTCCAGCACACTCGCACACACACGCAGACACCCCCGACGCTGACCGCCCCCGCGGGGGTGCTGGGCGGGGCAGCTGGGGGGAGCGGGTGTGGAGGGAGAGGGCAGGGGCAGGGGCAGGCGGGGGCGGGCGGTCACTGCGGCTCAGTAGCCCTGCGACTGGTAGCCCGGGGGCTCGGCGTCGAAGGCGTTGGCCGGCTGCTGGTAGGTGCCGCCCATGCCGACGGGGTCCGGCCCGCTGCTGGGCTCCACGTAGGGGGCGTAAGGCATGCTGGAGTCCTGGCTGGGGTCCATGTAGTCCTGGGAGAAGAGGGCTGAGTCGGCGCCAATCTGGTACCGCTGGAAGGCCAGCACGGCCTGGCCCGCCTGCGCACGGGCCGGCAGGGGACAAGGACAGGAGGGAGGGCACGGTTAGGGGAGAGACAGACAAGAGCACAGGGTTAGTGGTGGTTAGTTCATGGGACACGGGCAACAGAGGGTTAAGGGTCCCACACCCCAAAGGAACATGACACCTTGGAGGGTGACTGTGTTCTTGGTTCTCTGTCCCACCCTCTGATCTGATCTCGGAATGTGATGGAATGTAGATGTGAGGCCTGGAGCTCTAGCTGCCAAAATGGACCATGAGGATGGTGAACCGAATGGTGGAGCTGGAAGAGGCCTGCATCACCACAGACCCACGCAGCCACTGTGCCAGCCCCGGAGCAGGGCCCCAGGCTGGACCTAGTGTAAACCCCTGTCGCTTGGGGTTTCCAGTGGAGACGGAGTCCACAGAGTGAACAAGTTTCAGGGCCGCGTGACTTGACAGAGCCTTGCCACCTGCCGGCCTTCCGGACCCCAGGCCCTGTCTTCCCAGAACCCGGGCACACTGCTGTCACGGACGACACCGGGCACACGAGGCCAAGGAGCAAGCACAGCCCAGAGGCTAGTGGTGAAGGGCCGTCCTGGGAGTCTGCTCACTCCATGGCCCCATTTCTGGGCTGGGAAGACTGAGTCTGAGAGAAGGGGGCAGGGCCCAAGGCAGAGTGGGTGGCCACACCCAGCCCCAAACATGGGGACCCTGCCCCTTCCCAGGCCAGGGTGCCCCCCTCTTCCTTGTGACCAGCCCCCGACAAGGCACCACGTCAGCCAGGAGCCACAAAGGGCCACCCAGGGAAGAGGCAGGGAGTGAGGCATGCTGGTATTCCATTCCGGAAAGTTCTAGAAGTCCAGGCCCAGGCCCAAACTTCGGGTCTGTGCCCACTGGGGGCAGCACTTCTGAGAGAGCGGCTCTTGGAGGCACAGGGCTGGGGCCGGGAAGCCGGGTTGTGGAGTTGGGGCAGGGGTCTCGGGTTTGCCCGCCACGTGGGCTGGAGGTCCCGGCTGCTGGGGCTCAGATCTGGGACCTGAGTGCACGGGGGGGGGGGGGGCAAGGGGCTTTCCGGGGCTGCCCTGGGCCGCTGACAAGCCCAGGAGCACACTCGGGGGACACAGGACGGCAGCGCCAGGAGCGAGGGCTGCAGGCCTGGCTCGCCCAGGGCTCTCTGGCTGCACCGTCCAGGCTGGCTCCCAGCTCGGACCCTTCCAGGAGGAGGACTCTGGCCAAGGGCACCGAGACAGCTCTGTGGTCAGCTCCTGCCCCATGTCAGGACCTGCTTTGAGGGACCTGAGTCCCTGCTGTACTGGGAGGCCATGGGGAGGCCGCCTGCACTTGTCTGCCTCCAGCGCAGGGAAGCTTGCTCTGCCCGGGGGGCCGGGGCACCGCGCTGCGGGCCTGTTCACGCCCTCGGCCTCCTCCGCCAACGCAGAGCAGGGCTGGGTGGGCCAGCATGGCAGCCCGCAGCAGAGCCACCTCCAAAGGCGAGAATATGGAGGCACCCCTGGGCCCTGGAGAGCGGGAGTGAGTGAGTGATGGATGATGGATGGATGAGTGAACACAGAGCTCACACTTATTGAGCATCCCGGTGCCCAGCTGGCTTTGGATTCATTTGCACAACGGCCTGCGAGGCCGGGCCACGGTCACCTCTCAGTCTAGGGAGGGGACGGAGGCTCAGAGAGGTACAGGAGTTCTCCCTGGTCACACAGCACAGAGAGCAGGGCTGGACCAGGTGCCCTCCGACGTCGCGGCCAGGCCCCCCTCGGCAGCCAGCCTCTGTGGGGCCGGGAAGGCTACCCTTCACCCCGCAGATGTGGACAGCTCCTGGCGGTCCCGCGTGGAGCCACCTCCCACTCTGACAGCGCCTGAGGGTCCGGCTGGGGGAGGCGGCGATGGGCCCGTCTCCCCCTCCCAGGATGTGGACTCCTGGGACCAGGGACCCGATTCACCACTGGGCGCAGAACGGCTGCTCAATAAATGTTTACTGGATGGATGAACACAAACCAAGGATGAACAGAGGCACTGGGTGAGTGAATGAGCCGGCTCCGGGCCCAGGCCGAGGGCCCTGGGCATGGCCGGCAGAGGCGGCAGCTGCGCCTGGGCTCCCCGCTCCGCGGGCGGCCGCCTAGGGCTGCGCCGAGGCGGGGAACAGCGTGCTGTACTCCTCCTGGAAGCTAAGGTCCTTGAATCTCCGCACGGCCAGGGCTGCGCTCAGGCTCTGCCGGGAGAGAGCAGAAGAGCCGTGGGAAGGCCGGGAAGCGCAGAGCTGTGCGCGGGGAGGCTGGCTTCAGGGACCGCGGCCTCGGATCCGCTCCGGGAAGCGCGGGGAGCTGCGCCCCACCCCGCCCCGCCCCTGCCCTGCGATCCCTGTCCCTCCCATACGAGCCCCGCCCCACTCCTGCGAGCCTGCCCCTGCTTGCAACGAGCCCCGCCCCTCCCCTGTGAACCTCGCGCCACCCCTGCGATCCCCGCCCCCTGTGCGCCGAGCCCCTCCCCTGCGAGCCGCTCCTCTCCCCTGCGAACCCTACCCCCGCACACCGAGCCCCGCCCCTCCCCTGAGAGTCCCGCCTCCTGCGCGCCCCACCCCGCCCCGCCCCTCCCCTGTGAGCCCTGTCCCTCCCATACGAGCCCCGCCCCACTCCTGCGAGCCTGCCCCTTCGCAACGAGCCCCGCCCCTCCCCTGAGAGCCCCTCCCCTGAGAGCCCCTCCCCTGCGAGCCCGCCCCACTCCTGGAGGCTGCCCTTGCGCAACGAGCCCCGCCCCTCCCTGCGAGCCTCGCGCCACCCCTGCGATCCCCGCCCCCTGCGCGCTGAGCCCTTCCCCTGCGAGCCCCGCCTCCTGCACGCCGAGCCCCGCCCCCCGGGCTTGCGGCTCCTACGCGCCTGGACTGGGGGGTGTGGTCCCCATCCCTGGGCGTCGTCTCAGGCCATTTGGTTCTTGCGCCCATCCTTGCTCGGCTCCCAGCAGGGTACGGGAGGGGAAAGGCAGCACCCGCCCACCCCACCGCGGAAAGCGAGACGCCGCCCGGGGCCGGGCTGAGGCGGCTTGGACCTCTGCGGCACAGCTGAGGGGGAGCAGAGGCGGCGACCAGGGCCCTGGAGACCCCCGGCCGGGGGCGGCACAGGACCGCACCGCACGCGTTTACGTGAACCCAGCGTCACCCTTAAAGCTCAGATTTCGCGCGAAAATGCAACTTGCTGGCTTCGGGAGTCCCCAGGCGGAGGGTGCTCCTTCGGGGGGCACACACCTGTCCCCTGCCACGCAGCACCGTCGGGCGGGCCCTGCCTGTGAGCACCTGAGTCCGTGGCAGCCCCCACCCAACCCCCTACCCAATCCCCTCATTTTCCAGATGGAACACGGAGGCCAGAGAGGGGCAGCCCCAGGGATGAGGCACCAGGCGGGCTCCTTCCCAGCCCCCCACTCAGGGGGCGGGGCCGGGCCCGACCCCCGGGAAGGCTGCTCTGGCCAAAGCAAGGGTGCACAGGGCGCTGTGGCCAGGAGGCGCTGCCGTGAGCGCCGCGGTCCAGGGCTCTAGGAGGCCGACGCAGTCCAGGGGCTAGGCTGGGACCCAGGGCGGGCTCCGCGGCGGCCGGACTCACCCAAGTGAAGATGGAGAAGAAGGAGAAGGCGATGGCAGCCCTGGCGGCGTCGGTCCCCTCGTTCAGTGGGTTGTCCTTGGGCTTGGAGACCTGCCACTGGTTGGCCAGGAAGCAGAAGCCCACGAACCAGAGGAAGGCCCAGAAGGCTGGGGTGCCCAGGGCAAGGGGGAGCAAGTGGGGAAATTGAGGAGCAGGGGTCATGCACTCGCCCATCCCCAGGGGCACAGGCGGGGAGGGGGGCGGGGGGGAGCGCAGGGCGGGGGAGATCACAGGGAGCGCAGGGGCAGGGGCGGGGAGGGGCAGGTCCCAGTGGCCAGCGGGGAGGAAGGAGAGACAGAGAAAGGGCAGGCAGCTCAGGCCAGCGCTTCGCTGCCCTCTGCCGGACACCAGTTTCCGGGCCCCAGGGAGGACGACCCCGCCCCTCCCCCCAGACTTCCAGAGACGGGCAGGGAGTGAGAGGCTGGGGCTGGGCCAAGGGCCTGGGCTTCCTGTGCACTTGCTGCCCCCAAGTTCGGTGGCGGTTTGGGAGCTCAGAGCTGCCCCGTGCACTGAGGGGGCGGGAGCCTGCAGCCCGGCCCCTGCCCAGGGCCCCCCGCTGCTGGGGGCCCCGGGGGGCTCCGCAGAAGTTTGGGAATCATCCTTCTCACTCTTTCTGGGCCAGTGGTTCTGTGGCTCTGACCCCTGCCTAAGCGTCCACCAATCAGATTCCAGGAACCAAGGGGACGGGAGCCAGGGGGCCTCTGCCAGAGGCCACTCCTGAAGGGCAGAAGGTGACCGTGCCGCCGTGCCACCCAGGACCAGGAGAGGGAGGCTGCAGCTCCCAGGGCCCCTTGCTCAGGGCTCAGGAGGCTCCTCCCGGGCGGGGGCTGCAAGAGGCTGGGGGACCAGCGCAGCTCCAGCCCCACCCTCCGCGGCAGGGCCGGGACAACCTGGCTCTCGGGAGTCCTGGTCCCACCAGCCCCGGGTCTGTGCCTTCACCGGCCTGCACGCGCCACACCGCCCGCCGGCTCACCCGAGACGCCAATGTCGGACAGCACGGCTTTCTTGCGGTCCTTGACGCTGCTGATCTGCGGGAAATACACGTCGAGAGCCAGGTAGAGCAGGCAGGTGAGGAAGGCGAGCACGCCCACGGTCACACCGTAGCTGCAGGCGCTGGCGTTGCGGTTGTAGATGCAGAACTCCTCGCCCTCCGACGGGCTGTTGAGGTAGCCCTCGTTCACAATGGCGCCGAACACCACGATGGAGAACACCTGCGGGGGGAGGGGCAGGCGTGAGCCCTGGGAGCGGGCGGAGGCTCGGGCGGCGCCCTGCCCGGCTCACCCGGACGGCTTCCTTCCTGGGCTGCAGGCACCAAGGACGCTCTGCCTACCGCTGCGGCCCCACTCGGACCCCAGCCAGGTCCCGAGACTGAGGCTCCCCCGGGGCTGGCCTGGCACCTCACACACGTGGCCACGGGCCCTCCTGGGCTTGGAACCCGCCCACGTCCACGCCTCAATGCCAGCATTCGCCCCACCCATGACTGTGGAGCCCAGGGAGGGCCTGGGGTCCCAGGCCCTGCACGTGGAGCGATGCAGCAGTAGCCAAGGTCCAGCTGTGTACCGGGCCACCTGTGCCATGCCGAGTGCCCCCCACTTGTGGCGGGTTCACCTCAGCCAGGCAGGCAGCCAGCTGACCCCCAGGGACCGTGCGTCCGTGTAGCCTCCTGCCCTCGAGCCTGGCTGGACCCAGTGATCTGCTTCCAACAGACAAAATACAGCAGAGTGACGGACAGCACAGTCCATCTCGCTCCCTCTCTTGTCCCTCTCCCTGCACACTCCCGTGGAAGCCCAGTCCGGTCCTGTGTAGAGGGGCGGAGGGAAGGCCCTGGCCAACAGCCAGCAGGGAGCTGGGTCCTCCACCCAGCAGCCCACGAGGGACTGAATCCTGCCAAGCCCAAGGGAGTGAGCTGGCGATGGAGCGCCCGGGGAGGTCGCAGCCCCGGCTGAGCGGGCTGCAGCCCGGGCAGATGCAAGGTGGAGGCACCCAGCTGGCTCAGCCGCCTCTGGGCCCAAGAACGGGGGAGAACAAAGGCTGGCGGTTTTCCGGCCCAAGTGCGTGCACAGCTCACTCCGCAGCGCGGGGCACACCAGGCAGGTGAGCCCTGTGCCGCCCCCGTGCCCCTCACCTCCCCTGCCACCGCGCGGGCATGAGGACGACCGGGTGACTCGCTCCCAACAGGCGCGATGTGACAAGAGTGCCAGCTAGCGCCTCCGATTCGCAGTGGACACAGAGGGCGGGGCAAGCTCGACCTGTGGGGAGCTGCAGGCCGAGGCCAGCCGGAGCGAGGCGGGAGCGGGGAGGGCAGGGGTTCCGGGCCACTTCCACTTCTCCCTTCCTGCTTCTCCCGCTGCACGGACTCCTTGCACTAGGAAGGAGCCAGACGCACCCCTCCCCCGCACACACCCAGGATGGGGGGGGCTGGGAGGGGCCTCCTTAATGCTGCCCCTCAGCCATATGGTGTTCCACATCTACACGGGGGTTTATAATGAGGAGGGCAGACAAGGGGGCTTGGAAAGTCCATGGAAAACAGAAGTGGAAGATGTCTGGGTGCAGATACTTCTGAAACCTGTGCATTTTTTAAAATACTTATTTGAAAGGCAGAGTCTGAGAGAGGAGAGAGAGAGAGAGAGAGAGAGAGAGAGAGAGAGAGGTCTTCCATATGCTGGTTCACTCCCCAGATGGCTGCAATGGCCAAACTGTGCCAGGCTGAAGCCAAGAGCTTCCATCCAGGTCTCCCACACGGTGCAGGGGCCCAAGCACTTGGGCCATCTTCTACTGCTTTCCCAGGCCACAGCAGAGAGCTGGATCGGAAAAGGATCAGTGGGACTAGCACCAGCGCCCATATGGGATGCCAGCGCTTCAGGCCAGGGCGTTATAACCCGCTGCACCACTGCGCTGGCCCCATGGTACACATTTTCAATCAACTTTTTGAGACAGCTTCCCGTCATGCAGTCATGATATACGTATAAGAAATAAATCATCCTTTAGGATGGGAAGGCTGACTCAGACAGCTTTCCTCAAAAGCAGCTGGGAACTGACATCCGACGCCGCCGCGTTAGGACACCACTGAGTGTTCAGGAGGAATCCGACCCGAGTGTGCACCACCAATGAGCGGGGGAGGAGCTCCTGTCGGGGGCAGGTGCCTGGCCTGGTGGGCGGGCACGGGTTGCAGTGCCGGCTCAGACCCTCACACCCCAGAGCGGAGGGCCTGGGCTCCATTCCTACTCCCGGCTCCTGACCCTGGGGGCAGCACTGGCTCGGCTCGCTGGCTTCCTGCCACCCCCACGGGAGCCCTGCGTGGAGGGCAGCCTGGCCCAGCCCTCGCCTTTGTGGGCATTTGGGGAGTGAACCACAGATAGGAGCGTGCGCTCTCTCTCTCCCTCTCTGCCTCTCAAATAAAAAAGAGAAGAAATGGTGGCACGTCTACTCAGTGGATTTTTCAGCCACAGAAAGGACAAAAGCACTGACGCAAGCCACGAGGTGGGTGAACCTCGAGAGCAAGTGAGAGAAGAAGCCAGATACAGAGCTCCCTGTGCCGTGGCTCCCTGTGCTGTGGCTGCTCTGTTCCGTGGCTCCCCTGTGCCGTGGCTCCCTGTGCCATGGCTGCTCTGTTCCATGGCTCCCCTGTGCCGTGGCTGCTCTGTGCTGTGGCTCCCCTGTGCCGTGGCTTCCCCTGTGCCGTGGCTCCCTGTGCCATGGCTGCTCTGTGCCGTGGTTCCCCTGTGTCGTGGCTGCTCTGTGCTGTGGCTCCCCCATGCTGTGGCTGCTCTGTGCCATGGCTCCCTCTGTGCCATGGCTCCCTCTGTGCCGTGGCTCCCCTGTGCCGTGGCTCCCCATGCCGTGGCTTCCCCTGTGCCGTGGCTCCTCTGCTGCGCTCCATCCGTGGCAGGGGAGAGAGCAACGGCAGGGCCACGGGCCACCTCCGGGGCACAGGGCGTTGTTGATGCGATGAGGCCAAGGTTACAAGGCACTGCGAATGCACCAAACGTTGCCGAACGACTCGCCTTACAACGGTTACCTGGGCGCCCGCGTTACAGTGCAGCATGTTCAACAGCTGCCTGCGACACCAGCATCCCCATATGAGCACGGATTCGAGTCCCGGCTGCTCCACTTCCGATCCAGCTCCCTGCTAAGGCGCATGGGAAGGCATCGGAGGACGGCCCAAGTGCTTGGACCCCCACACCCACGTGGGAGACCCACATGGAGTTCCAGGCTCCTGACTTATCCTGGTCCAACACTGGCTGTTGCAGCCATGTAGAGAGTGAACCCACAGAAAGAAGAATCTCTCTCTCTCTCTCTCTCTCTCTCTAACTCTCCCCTCTCTTTCTCTGTAACTCTGCCTTTAAAATAAATAAATAAAGTTTTTAAAAATATAAAATAAAATGGTTATCTGTATGTTAGATAATCTGAAACAAAGGCGTCTGTGTCCATGTGGCTTCAGTGTGGGCACACGACCACCGGCCCCCAGACAGCCAGCGCCCGTCCAGGAAGCTGCCCAGCTGGACCCTCCAGGCTGCACGGGGCACCTGGGCCCTCAGCTCCGCCCAGCCCAGCCCTGCATCCTCACCGCCCCCAGGTCGCTGGGAGGGCCCCACTGAACAGAAGGGGACACGGCTGTCGCCACTGTCAGCAGCAGAGGCCGGCTGGTCCCCGCCCTGGGAGAAAGGAGGCTGCAGGCGACGGGGCCAGGCAGCAAGACGCAGGTCCCGAGGCCGGAGCTCAGGAGCACAAGGAGAGGAGTAGCAGGCAGCCAGGATCCCACGGCGTTTCCACAGGGGCTCCCGTGGCAGTAGGTACGACCCTGACGAGCGGCTGCCTGCGCCGTGCACTGCACAAATCCAGGCACTGCCACTCGGCCCCTAGGCATCGCCATCTTGACGTGGCGTTGCAAGTCCCAGGCTCCCACCAGAGAACTGCCAGGCTGAGAACCTGAAGCCTGCACCGCAGAGCCACACCTGCCACGCCAGCCCCCATCCGAGCGATGCCCCCAGCCCCGCTCCCTGCCTCTGCACCGGGAAGGCAGCAGCAGATTGGCCCCTGCCACCCACGCACAGACCCAGAGCGGGTTCCCGGCTCCAGGCTTCAGCCCGGCCCAGCCCCAGCTGTCACAGACATTTGGGGGTGAACCAGCAGATGGACGACCTCTCTCTGTGCCTCTCCCTCTTTCTCCGTCAGTCTACCTTTCAAGTAAATAAGTAAAGCTTAAACAAACAAAAGAACAGAACAGAAAGAAAAAGAAAAAAAAAAAAAAACAGTGCTGGGTGGCGCCAGGACTTCAGCCTAGCAGAACAGAAAGGCCCTGACCAGAGGCTGAGACCCCGGGGAGTCGGTGCCAGATTCAAATCTGCGCCCTGCTGTGTGGCCTCAGGCAAGTTACTTCACCTCTCTGAGCCTCTGTAAAAACCAGAGGCCCCTCCCTCGGGGCAAGCCTGCCTCCCAGGAGGAAGGGATTATACCAGAAGGCAGCAGGCCCTACAGACCCCGCCCCCTGGGGGCCGGAAGAGAGCCCACCTCTGCAGGGACAGTCCACCAGAGGCCGGAGGTGGGAGGGAAGTGGAGGGCGGAAGTTGGGGCCTCCGGGACTGCAGAGAAGGCACCATTAGGACTGGGCCCCGGGGGAGAAGCAGGGAGCCCAGAGGAGCCAGAGACGCTGCGTCCCCAAGAGAGGGAGCTGTGGCTCAATGGGCTAATCCTCCGCCTTGTGGCGCCGGCACACCGGGTTCTAGTCCCTCTTCCAGGCCAGCTCTCTGCTGTGGCCAGGGAGTGCAGTGGAGGATGGCCCAAGTGCTTGGGCCCTGCACCCCATGGGAGACCAGGAGAAGCACCTGGCTCCTGGCTTCAGATCAGCGCAGTGCGCCGGCCGCGGCGGCCATTGTAGGGTGAACCAATGGCGAAGGAAGACCTTTCTCTCTGTCTCTCTCTCTCACTGTCCACTCTGCCTGTCAAAAAAAAAAAAAAAAAGAGAGAGAGAGAGAGAGGGAGCCGCAAGATCAAAACCCCCTGGGGGTTGGGTGCAGCCGGCACAGGGCGTGGTGACCCTGGGCGGGGCAGGAGCCTGCTGGGGTGAGCTGTGCCGACCGAATCCCCCTCGGGTGCGCAGGGCGTGGGGTCAGACACTCAGGACAGCAAGTACCGGGCTCAGCACCAGAAGAGCCCTGGAGTGACACGGAACTCGCAGGACTGGCCGTCACGTTGATGGCCCACGGCGGCC